GACAAGATATCAACATCCATATTGATTGGAATGGGCCAATACTGAATTCTAATTCGTGTTTTTAATTTCGAAAATTATTTCCCATGTTGAGTAGATGTTTAGCTCCGTTAATTGTTGTGCGGTTGTCGATTTGCCTTTTATACATGATTCTTCCTCTTCAAGTTTATTTGATGTTAGTTAGTTATATTAACCTAATAAACACAACCAACTATTTGTCGTATTTACCAGTAGAATTAACATTTAAATAATCTGAACACACTAACAAACATATTGTACATACTGACAACACGCTATAAGCAGCGTTAAGGCATCCCATATACAGTATCCTGAGGGTTGAACTCAAATTCTAAAACAAGCTTAATTGATAATACTCAAGTCGAAAACACCGCCTTTCCTTTTCTCTTAAAGGTATAGCAAAGAATTTTATGATGAGCTTTACAAGGATAAGAACTATTAAAGATACATTCCCGCGTACAAACTGGGTGATTTGATGATATATTTTGACCAAAAACATATTCAAACTAATTGATTTATCATAAGTTTGCTTCAAATCCTTCTCAAAACATTGTAATTGTCAGGGAATACCCCTGCTATAAAAAAATCGACCGAAAGTGGTCATGTTTGCGTCACGTGACTTACCTCTCTCGGTACCTAGCAACGGGTGCGAAGCCGGAGAATTCATTGCATATATAAAACGATGTTGTCTTTAATCGCTAAATATTTATTACAAATATCAAAGCCCAATAAACTCTCGGATGCCCAAGTTTTTTCCGTGTTTTAACTCAGAATCTGTTGCACCATCAAGTTTATCAACATATAAATCAAGCTCTCACTAACGCTGGGAGATTAGGCAATCTTCGCGTACTACCTTTGACGTTAATCGAGCGGATATCACTAAACGTCGGGTTGCCGGTTAGGGAAACCCTTACATTTTTGCCCTGTATGCACTCCATGGGTGTTTTTCATGAAATCCAGTATTTTTCTACTAAGATTGGATGTTTCTGCTTTCTATATATACCAAAGTTTCATACTTTTATTGGAATTAAACACCCAATAAATACTTTTCTGGGAAAGTATCTTTAAGCAACAATTTTAAATACACGCCAAATTCTAAGCATGCACGAATTACGTTTTCAAAAAGGCGTAACTGGAAATTCAAATTTGCACATTTTTGGGGTTGTTTTTTTTTTGTTATACGAATCCAAGTTAATGATTTACTATGCTTAGAAGTTTATGCACATTCTTGCTTATTTGGTTCGGGTAATCGCCGAACGTGTTTTTCTCATAAGAATTACCTACTTAGATGTACCGGTTTACTGGGAAGTCTGAGTTGAAAGTACAACTATATGTAAATTGAGGTTTGGCAGGCAACAAAACATATGACTGTGGCAATAAAGTATGTGAATTTTTAAGGTAACTATAATAGCCTATAGCAATTTTATTACACTAACTAAAAGTGATCAAAGCCAAAGGATACTTATTGTATACCCTTACAAATTAATAGGCTTCTTCCTGCATTAACGTCAACGACGCATTAATTTCAAGACTATCGTAAGAAAGATGTCTTAAGAAAGAAATAGAATATAATGGTTTCCTCTTCAAAGATATTGGACATGTCGTCAATTATGGCACATGCACAAAAAATATCACGTCATATTAGCAACATTAATATTAATCAGGAAACTAAACAGAAGCTTTATCAACGTAAGAGCAATAAAGACAAGAATTATTGCCAAAAGAATTAAAATGTAGTAAATTCGTCTTCAAAAAGATTGGATTTTTCCTCAATTACACAAACAAAAAAATCACATCATATTAGACAACATTAATAATAATCGGAATCCTAGACAGAAGCCAAATAAAAAATGTCATATAAATTATAGATAGTTCTATTGCACCAAAACATCCATTCGTGACATTCAAACGTCATATTATATGGGTATGCATGTAAATGGAAAATACAGATGTGACGTCGGCCTTTGATGTTGGCGTACCATTATTTCAAATAATGGTACGGGCAATGTGCCAAGCGTACATTATTTATACCAGTTGCAATATTGGACTCGTGTGGCGTATTTCATTGAAATGCACGCGCTGGATAGTGTCTGTATTTTAAGTTGTTTTATGGTCTCGTGCAAGACATTGCGTAATATATAGATATTGCCTAGCAAAACAGTAGGACGTTAAACCCCATTTCATTTCATTTCCCTTGTGCTATCGTACTCGTACAATATCGCACTCGACCATTAAACTACACATATTAAAGGGGCATTCTGGAAGATTGGATAAAGAGCTGAAAGTTCTCGCTGTTATAGTTAAAAAATAGATAATGTTAACAGAATATGCTAAAAAATTTAGTCAAATCTCTTCACTCTAAACCGAGATATTAGCGATTGAAGTTTGGGCTTGCCTCGAACGTCATAACGTTAAATCATCCGTTATAAACGGTATTCAAATCCATTAAATATCGCAGGCTAACGATGGCATCGAAAGTTGATTATGGCCTTGATAAGCTAATTAATGTTTAATTAATAATATTTAATTCAGACCTAATGAAAGACGTACAGTGGGTAGATTTAGCTCTTGAATAATGCATGTTTAATTTAATACGAGAATACAGTTGTGACTTATGAAATATATAATTATAGATAAATTTTAACAAAGTGGTAAAATACCGACAAGGAAGAATAATATAGCTTATGTGGTCGGGTGTTCGGTCCCTGCATTGGCCGAGAAAGTTCATCCAGATTTTCCGGCATGGTTCCCCCTTGTCAGTGATGCAGGACGGAGGTTCTGACAAGGACAGCTGTCTAGTCGTTTAGATGGGACGAAAAACCGAGGTCCCGCCTATACATTGGCGTGCACGTAAACGATCCCTTGACAGATGGAATTCGATATAAGAGTATGCCGTGGTGCCGCTGTCCGGCCAAATTTCCCTCATAGCACACTGTATGGCGTATGCCCGAATTCATTAGCCCAGTTCGGAGCAGTAGGACGTTAAACCCCATTTCATTTCATTTGTTTTGTTGGAGGGTCAAGAAATCCTCTTCAAGTTACGCTGAAGGCTATTTTTATATTTTCGTAGAGCAATGTCGTATTTTTATCTCTTGATTTTAATAATATGCCATTTATTATTAAATAAATTTATTTCTGTTTGAAAAAAAAAGGTGAATCCCTGAAAACTGTTTGAAATAGCCATGACAGGGTAAGTAAATCTTCTCCGGTTAATATTGACTTACCGGTAGCTGTAAAGTTAGCTTGTTAATTGTTCTAGTTAGCTGGGATCCTGGTACATATTGTACTGTTAAACACATTTTCCTGAATAGCCCTTCCTCCTCAGGTGATATGAAAGGAGGGCAGGGGCACCTTAATTTGAGGACAGTGCTAGCTACTTGTGAAAAAAAAACCCGAATGTTTGTGGTAGTTTTTGGATAGATTACTTTAAGGGTGGCATGTGGCCATTGCACCCCCACCCCCCTCAAAGAAAGAACAAAACCAAAAAACAACCGTGTTGTTAGGCCTGTTTTACGTGCACAGATTAAGCAGTTGTTGATTTTAAATGGTATATTGTTTTTGTGTGTTTCTAAAAAAAATTCTGTATCAAATGGCTTGATACATATGAAAGGTCTGGGTTGTTGTGCCTTTAATAAAGACCGAGTTTAAAGGAGCTAAATCGCTAATATTCCGGACCTAGAAATTAACACAAATGGGTCGCAGCGCATATAATAATGTAATATGAATATATATAAACTGATTTACATTCAATCGTTTCAGGTTTTACTGTAATTTCTAATCGGTTATGTTCGGCGAAATACGCCAGTACTCTTGATCGAATGCCAATCTCTAGCGTCTGGTTATTCCAGTCTACACCGATAGTATTTTTTGCGCATGCTTTCCAGATAAGAATATGTGGTCACCGTTTGACATGACTAGTGGAATATATATCTAGCCTCGTTCCTCGAGTCCCTTGTTACAAATGGCACTGAAACCCATTATAGTACACGATTCGTGTACCAATGGTAAAATGTTTATTTTGTCTTAAATATTGGATATCAGAAACCCATCTTTTCCCCGGTAAGATCACAACATCAATGTTAATTTAAATTGACAAATAATACCTGTTTTCAATGTCAAAGACTTTGGATGATATTGAGTTAGAGACTTAGCTACTTTAAGTTAAAGTAGAGCAGTACAAATCCATGTTGTAAAACCAAATGAAATGGGGTTCAACATTTCTGCAAATATTTTATAATGAAGACCCAGTTTGCTGTGAGTGACATTTTTTCTGACGACAGGAGTGTGGTCTAGTGGTTTATTACCTTGGCGTGAAATCACAAGATCTTTCATCGAGTCAAGTGGCGTGGTTTTGATTTTCCTGCTTGAATGTTGCCAAGGAGAATGGTCACCTGTCCAACCTTCATGAGTTTTATCCAGGTCCTCCCACTGCTAAAGACAGCTATGCGCACGCAAATTATTGAAATAAAATTGAACCGTATGTCAGTCCCGAAATAAGCTACTTTGTGTCGAGATCCATTTAACCTGCTTCCAATGGCATATACATGACCTTGATATTTATCTCATCCGAATCACTAGATCATTTGTTCGCACATCCTCCGTCCTGCACTAAGTCAGTTTGGAAAATGGTGGATAGAGAGCAAGCTCTATACTCGCATAGCAATTAGCAACCCTTCAATTCATGTGTTTTTATGCACAAATTTTTTATAAAGAGAGAATAAATATACACCCACACAAATTAATTTAAATTTTCAATTTAATAATTATGTACTTTTAATTTTAAACCCATGAACCAATTCTTAATTACAAGTGTATTCTCTATACATGCCCTCACTTAGACTTCTGATGTCTACAGACCATCAGGAAATTGAGATAAATTTCACCTAAAAAGTATATTTAGCATGCATGGATCACATTACAGAAGTTTACATGTACTGTTCAAGTACTATTGAGTTCATTTTACTTGCCTGAAGGCACTACTATCAACAAACCAACAACTCAAGTTTAATGTTATACTTTATTGTTCGATTATATTGAAATAAAATCAGTATTTTAAATAAAATGATAATTATGGTGATAATAATATCTGAAAATGCAATATGAGCAAATTTGTGTTGGGCAAACAAAATGATTAGAACTTAATTTATATCTCCATATTGTGAAGAGAAGCTCACAGTAACATAACATAGAGGCTTTTAATAGAAATAATAAAAAAACACATAACAATTTAGAGACCTTTAATCTGAGCTCCACTCCTCCCTTTGGCACCATTGACAAGGGGCTGGGGGGGGGGGGGGGAGGGGAAACACTGGGATCGAATCTGGAACCTCTTGGTCAGTGTCTAGTGAGCCAGGCTTACTGACTCAGTCACTGTGCACCTATAATTTATCAGATTCATACCAGATTCTGCAAACCAGTTTACCTCTCAATTTCATTTATATCTGTATAGTTAAGTTTAATAATAAAACCATTACTATACCAAGGCATGTTATTTTCAGTACAGACTTTTCTAACAGGGTTTCTAAATGGGTTAATAAATGTAGGTTCGACCGTTACACCAACTGATGTCACTGCTTGTCGAGCACATTCACAACTATACTGACAATAATCTGTAAAATAACTTGGTATATCTTCTTTCTAAAAGTAAAAATATTAAAATCAATCAATTACTTTATTATTATACTTTAACTGAAAACTGAAATGAATGTAGTTTTAACACAGATCTGAGATCAATGTAACCTGGGCAGCTCATCGGATTTCTGTTTTAGAAAATAAAAGCATCATCTCTCTCTCTATTAATTATTTGAAAACGGTATAATTTATACTTGAATCATGTGGTAATATATCAAATAGTAACAAAGAGTTTTGATTACTGGGGTTTTGAGGGGTTTTTTGTTCTTGGGGTTATAATTTGGGGCGTCATCTAATTGCTTATATTGCCTTACAATAAAATAAATGGGTGGGCCGCAGCTATATTTCCCATGCAATGAAAAGAAATTGAATGAAAATTATTTTTGTGAATGATAGTATGTTTAAATTACATAACCCGGGCCATTGGCAATATTATCATTATTCCAAATATATCTATATGTCGCAATAGATCTCACAACGTAGCTCTAATCAATGTTTGTTAATGTCGTGATTTTAAGTTAGGAGGGGGTGACGGCTGTCCTAAGTTAAAATTGATTTTAGTTAAAATTTCCCTAAAATAGTTTTGCGAAACGCCACTATTTTAAGTTAAGATACAATTTTAACTTACAATATTATTTTAGTGGATTTTATCTTAAATGCTTAAAATCGTTTTGTGAAACGCATCTATCTTAAGTTAGGATCGAATTTTAGTTTAGGACGATTTTAAGGAGATTTAAGTTTTTGTGAAACAGGGCCCAGGGGCCAGTTTCACGAAATTTTAACTAAGATAAAATCCAAATTTTAGTAATTTGATTGGATAATATTAGATTGATTTTAGTGCTTAGCCAATCAAAATTGAGGTATCTACTAAAATTGGATTTTATCTTTCCTTAAAATTTCGAGAAACAGGGCCCTGATGTACTAAATTTATTACATTTATTCCATGGAAACATGAGATTATATCATAGATTACTTACCTTTAATTTAGAGATAGTTTCACCCCATGTTATATATGCACCAATACCAGCATTAAAACCTATAATGACAATATTACACATATAGTACACTTTTATTACAATAATACACTTTCCTGTATGGGTCCTGTAAGTATTTAGAAGTGTGTGTGTGGGGGGGGGGGGGGGTGAAGACCCGTAGACTATTTATGTAAAAAATTGTTTTTGGTCTGGGATTTAGGGATAACAAAATCAAAGCGATTGTATTTGACTATTTATTTTAACAGGTCAAAATTTGATTTTATTGACAAAATTAGGATATCTTACCAACAACAAGATCAGGGTTATCTCCCCTGTACTGATGGTATGGTTTTTGATGTATTGTTATAGATACATTGTTATATACTTCACGTTTACCATCTAAACTAGACATAATCTCTATACCAACCATATGTATATCAAACTTTATAGATGGAACTAAATAACCTAATTCCTGTAATAATATAAACAAATATTTTATGTCAATTCAAAATGGTACAAGTATATAACAAGGAACAAAAATATTTAATTCAGAAAGTACTATTATTAATACAAGAGAGAGAGAAATGAGGTTTAACGTCCACTCAACACAAACTAGGTCATTTTGGGACTAACACAGGGTTCAATTTTATTTCAATAATTCGCTTGCGCGTAGGGGTCTTTAGCAGTGGGAGGAAACTGGAGGATCCAGAGAAAACCCACGAGGTTGGATTATTAATACAACATGAAATGTCCTATTGTTCTGCATCAGCTGGGTTAATGAAGATGGGCATACACCATGCAGTGTGTTATGAGAGAAATTCTGTCTACTCATTGGTGCTACAGCCAAGTGTCAAAGTTTCTTTTATGTGCACGCCAGGAGTCCACAATACCTGTTCTTTTGTCCCATCCAAAAGACTACACACTGTTTCTTGTCAGGCCCTATATGTCCTGCACCACTAACAAGGGGAAATCATCCTCGAAAATCCTGAGTAACCTTCAAGGCCAAAACCAGGATCAATCTTGGGACCTCCTGGTTAGCAAGTACGCATCTTACTCATTGAGCTACTGTGACTCCCCATTATCATCACATCAGTAACATAAACTCAATAAAAGACCATATAAACTATACATCTCAGATCATAATCATTTCAATTAATGCACAAATAAACTTATAAATTACCTGAAATACCATCAACATTTCCACTTCTTTTTCTACACCTAATATATGTATAGTCATATTTCCACTGGTTTCAATTTCTGAAAACTTCTCTGGAACTATAGTGAAATACAACTTTTATTAGCCCACAGGCATTTTCATACAAGTAAATAAGGTATTGGTGTTCAAAATTTATTTCACCTTAGAAATCTGTTTCGAACAATCAAATAATTTTATGTTTTCAAATATAAAACACTTTTAGACTCTTTGTAATCTTGTATTTATAAATTTCTGATCGTAGAAGTTTTTAATTTCAGCAAAATTTTAAGTGATTGACAAAATCAATCATAATTTGAAATCAATAACCCTATGCAGGAGGGGGGCTTTTATTTGTGCAATTTTATTTTGTCAAAGGATGGCGAGGATAAAACTCAAGGTTCTATTTTTATTGCATGGTGTGTTTATTCAATCTGTTGACAGGACGTTACTCTGCAGTACCTTAGAACTGAACTGAACTGAAATGGGGTTTAACAAACATCCTACTGTTAACTGGTCTAATGAAGACAGGCATATACCATACAGTGTGCTATGAGGGAAATTTTGCCCGGACCGCGGCACTACAGCCTACTCTTGAATCAAATTCCAACTGTCAAGGGATCTTTTACGGGACCTCTGAGCGACTAGACAGCTCGCGATGTCAGGCCCTCTGTCCTGCATTACTGACAAGGGGGGGACCACCCTGGAAAATCTGGATAAACTTTCTTGGCCAATGCAGGGATCCAGTATCTTAGAACTGGAATGTTTTAAAAATTTGACCTGGTCAAAGAAATCAATGGGGATTACCAGTCGGAGACCTGATGGACAATCGCTGTCCATCCAAAGACTGATTGGTTATATCGGATGACCTGTGATTAAAGATATGTATGTATACTTAGAACTGGAATGTTTTAAAAATTTGACCTGATCATTGAAACCAACGGGGATTACTAGTCTGAGACCTGATGCCTTTAGGTTGAAGCAATCCTTGGAATGGACAATCGCTGTCCATCCAAGGACTGATTGGTTATATCGGATGACCTGTGATTAAAGATATATACTTACAATCAGGTATAAAACAAGATGTTACAATATAATATAGTGTTAGAGGAAAATGAAGTAATATAGCTATTGGTGAATCTAAAGGAAATCCTCTCCATTTATAATATGATTGCCAATCTTGAAATGGTTGATGTAATGGTGGAACTGTATTATCAGGTTTTGAGGTTAATATTGAAGATTCTACTGGTAAAACGTAAGGGTTGTCATCCGAAGATAGCTGACCTAAAACATATAAATATATTTTTAAAATTGTTTTTTTTAACTGGATGTATTTTTTTTATGTATCTGTATACCATAAATATATATACCCAATATATATACTTTATATACCCAAATTGAAATAGATATATAGTTTAACGTAGAAAAAGTAAAAATGTCCTCATGGGAGAACAACTTTTTCAGAATGATGTTGAATGGTATTCCAATAAAATTAAAGGAGTTAAAACTATTCTTTGGCACCTAGAAATGGACATAAATGGGTCGCAACGCATATAATAATGTAATATGAATATATATAAACTGATTTACATTCAATCGTTTCCGTTTTTACTCTAAATTATAATCAATTATAATCGCAAAATACGCGAAGAGTCCAATTTGAATGGCAGTCTTTGGCGTCTGGTTATTCCACTCTACACAGATAGTTTTCTCCTGTGGGATATGTTTAGCATCGTTCATCGAGTCGCTTCATTACATATTGGATATCAGAAGCCCATCTTTTCATGGTAAGATAACAACATCAATGTTGATTTAAATTGACCAATAAGTTGTGTTTGTCATGTCGAAGACTGTGGATAATAATCATCAGTTCTAAATATATCTTTTAGGTGTACTACCTCAGTTTATCTAGATATCTTTTTATATGCAAGATATTCTAGACAAGAGCTCATTGTCCTAACTGCAGGACTACTGTGTGGGACCATCTCACTCAAAAATTTAAAGATCCACATACTTTGAAATATGATATATTTGGGTCCAGGACAAATGCCCATTTAAAGAATAGTTTCTTTCTAGAAGAATTAAACCATTAAATTCACAAAACTTTTCAAGTTCACAATTAATAAAAGATCAGGCAAAAACCAAAACATTTACATAAGATACAGTAATACAATTACATAATTATTTAATATTTTGACTTTTGTATAAAGACATCTGAGAAGATTTGGCTTTCATGGTAACATTCTAATAAAATATTTTTTGATATTAATAAACTTATGACAGATCAGATGTTTCTAATAAAAAACAAAATAACTCAGGCGGGACGGGACAGTTTTTCTATGGGCAATTGTCCTGCTCCCAATGTATTTTGATAAAAGGTATTTTAGTAATATTTTGATAGACTTAGAAAGCCTTACCGAATGGACATTCATGTATATTGACTATTTTCAAGCCTAAAGGACATTCTCTTCTCCACAAACCATCATTATAAACACCATGTTGTTGTAAAAAACTTTTATATTTCTCAAGATGAAAATCCGCTGCTGTTGTGTCTAGTAACACAATAAGAAAATTATTGATAGTACCAGAATTAACATTTTATTCTAATATTTAGACCATCTATGTAAAACGTTATATGGTAATTTTTCCGAACTTATTAACTCAAAGAGAGATAGAAATGGGGTTTAACATCCACTTCACACAATTAGGGACTAACATATGGTATAATTTTATTTCAATTTTTCTCTTGAGCATAGATTTCTTTGGCAGTGAGAGGGAACCGGAGGACCTGGAGAAAATGTATGAGATCAAGCAAGTAACCCTACCCCTTGTCATGTACAAGCTTGGGATAAAAAAAAAACATGCCACTTAACTAAACAGCAGACCTTATGATCTAAAGTGCATGAGTTTGACCACTTGACCACCCACCTCCACCCACCCAGAACTCAAGGTAAAAAAGAAACATAACAGAAATTAATTTAATGTCTACTCAAAATAGTTATATATCATTTCAATAAAAACATGTGGAAATTCTTCATATGTGCCAATCCACAAGGATGTTTAGTTGGGGGGGGGGATAATCAAAGAATACTGAGATTCCATGAGGAAATTCTTCATTTCAATAATATGCCAATCCACAAGGATCTTTAAAAGTAGGGGATCATAATTGGAGAATACTGAGAAAATACATGAGCTGACACAACCTAATATTGGATGTCGCATATGAAACTGCATTGAACCAAATTACACTATTTCTAAATCCAATCTGATTTGAATAAGCTTGAAGGTTTTGATTTTGACATGACATTTTTTACTACAACTGATCTATATTATGTAATTTGTTTATATCACTAACTTCTTTCAGGGCTAATCAATGTCCCATATTTAACTACTTTCAGGGCTAATTGATGTCCCATATTTAACTACTTTCAGGCCTAAGCGATGTCCCATATTTAACTACTTTCAGGGCTAATTGATGTCCCCAATTTAACTACTTTCAGGGCTAATTGATGTCCCATATTTAACTACATGTACTTTCAGGGCTAATTGATGTCCCTGATTTAACTACTTTCAGGGCTAATCGATGTCCCATATTTTACAACAACTGATCTATACTGATCACTAACAGTTTAACTGATAAATATGAGTAGTATATATCAATCATGTAGATAACTAACCTGATGTAAATGTAAAAGGAAATGTAGCTAGTTCGTCTGTTTTCTCCATATAAACTTTGATCTTCTTACACCAATGTTTATGACTATGTGGTGCCATTGGACCTTTCTTTGACCAATCATTTTTCTGGCATTTTCTTGAACAATACTCAAATCCTTCACATGCTGAACTGCAAAAGAGAAAGCATAATTTATTTTAAAGAATTCTAAAATATCAAACATGAATGATGTATGTTAGATGTAGTAATACTGCTACTAAATTATCTTATTATTAAAGGGGAAGACCCAACGATTTTCAATAAGGTTTCCATAAATAATAAATATATATTTAGAAATAATCCCTCCTATAACATATGCAAAAAATAATTTGTAAGCGAGAAATTAATTTTTATTAATACCGGAAGTGACGTAGTTGGTTCGACATGCTCACTGGTCACTATAGTAAACATACAAATTTGGAATAAGTTTAGCGCTGTATTTTGTGATCGTTTCGCCGTTTGGCAGAAAATCTGATGAAAGGTAATCTTTATTAGGATATTAAGAACAAGAACTTACGGTGTTTTGAAGGTATAATATACAACGCGTTTGTGTAAATAAAGTTTCTAAACTGGAGACTGTGACACAATTTAAACCACATGGCTAATTGTTTACATAACGTGATAGCTGGCACGTGACAGATATTAACCGAACACAAATTGGCGACCTATTCGGCTAGCGACCTATTCGACCGATCCAGCTGGCAACCTGTTCGTTGGCAACCTATTCAGAATAAATTCAACAGTCGCCCAAACTCATCTATTTTTATCAACCAATAAAATCCAACGTAAGGTCTATCAAATGAAAGTAGAATATATTATCATTTATCCATTCCTTTAGCTCAGAATAGAGATGTAATTTCGCATTATCTTACAAAATTCTGGACATCCAACTAAATATATTCCGAAAGCTGATTAAATAAGCTTTCGAAATATTATTAGTAAAAGTTGGCACAATCATATTAAAGGGGTGCGCTCTCATTCTGAATAGGTTGCCAACGAACAGGTTGCCAGCTGGATCGGTCGAATAGGTCGCTAGCCGAATAGGTCGCCAATTTGTGTTCGGTTAATATCTGTCACGTGCCAGCTATCACGTGATGTAAACAATTAGCCATGTGGCTTAAATTGTGTCACAGTGTCCAGTTTAGAAACTTAATTTACACAAACGCGTTGTATATTATACCTTCAAAACACCGTAAGTTCTTGTTCTTAATATCCTAATAAAGATTACCTTTCATCAGATTTTCTGCCAAACGGCGAAACGATCACAAAATACAGCGCTAAACTTGCTCCAAACTTGTATGTTTACTATAGTGACCAATGAGCGTGTCAGACCAACTACGTCACTTCCGGTATTAATAAAAATTAATTTCTCGCTTGCAAATTATTTTTTGCATATGTTATAGGAGGGATTATTTCTAAATATATATTTATTATTTATGGAAACCTTATTGAAAATCGTTGGTCTTCCCCTTTAATATTAAATCAGCACTAATTATTGGATATTTATCTATCTTCATAATTTGAAAATATATTTTTCAGGCTAGGATATTGTAAAATTATTACAATTTTAATCCACAGATACTTGGATATATATTCCCTTATGTTTAACTCGATCAATCAATTGAATTGCTAAACAGTAGTTTTTCTCTTTCTCAACAATTTGAATACAACACCAAGATCAAATACAACATCTGCCTAACAGGGTCCAGACAACATTAAAGACACGCTATTTGAATGGCAAATCATTGTCGCTAGCATGCTATCGAATTATGACAACATAATTATAGTCTTCATTCTTAAAAGGATATATCTTTAAGTAAGGTGTTAATAAATCATTATTATTGGACAACAGAAATCAGTTACCAGCTTACACTCCCAAAACATACAGAAAAAATAAATTCCCTCAAAATTCAGACTTGTTATTGTTATATTATCACTGTCCAAAGCTCAAATCATTTTTAAAACATAAATCTTAATTAATATTCAAGCTAGTAGTTAATTAATCTTGCATTAGTGCCATACAAAAAAAATATTCTGGTTCTCCGACAAGCCTTGCAAAAAAATCTGATGCGGGAGGGAGGTTTTTATTTTGTAACCATAGAGCTATATGAATTCTCAAATCACATTTCAAGAAACTACATTTATCTGATGATGTCATTTATAGGAATGTATGATTACATAGTGTAATTTATGATTCTCAGTAACATTTATCAACGTTGTGACATGGCATACACTTCAACATTTGCTTCCTGTAACTGAGGTAAATAATTTATACAAGGTAATTAATGAGATTGTTTTTATTCTTTTATTCTGAAAGCCAGGGGCTAAGAGAGAGGGAGGAAATGATGAGCTTTGCGTCATGGTTTTGAGTTTTCGCGCCGCCTTGAGTTTTTGCGTCCCCTTGCAAATGACAAAATTCATGTGGTTTTAATGTTATTTTCAACATTATAATAATAATCATAATGCTTAACCAGTGTTAATCATATACAGTGGGTCAGATAGGCTACAAATTGATTCTAGCATGTTCCACATAGCCCAATATTACCCGGTGGCACTGGAAGGGACCCGCTCCCTGCACACACATAGAAATATTCCCTTTTGGGGGCCTGGACGGGATCTTTTTCCTCATGCAAAATCATGGGTCACCTCACCCCTGCTGATAACCGAAATATTTGTTTTGTATGGCCTAATGTTGATGCCACACCCTATTTCAGATGAAAAGATATAAATAGTGTTAATAATAATACCATGTTTTAAATAGTTCAGGGGTTCCTCTAGTTCTACAAGAACAACATTCTCTAACATAAGATAATTCTTCATCTTTCTCGGATCTATTTGACATAGTATCAGGATTTATATACTTAATCTTCAACTTAGACAGATCTAAATGGGTATTCCTGTAAATAAAAAGGCAAACAAAAACTTCAGTTAAACGATCAATAGGAAATCCTAGAACTAAATCCTACATGAATTTATCTTTATTTGTTAATGAGCTACGGTGAGCATGGCGTTGGCTCACTAATCAATAGGTTCGATTCTGGTATTGGCCGGAGAGAGCCAATAGGGCCTGGCATGGAAAAGTTTCTTAACTATGGAAGGAATGAAAATCTGAGGTCCTGTTTACACATAGCTGTGCACATAAAATCACTTATGATAATTGGGAGAGAGAGAGAAATGGGGTTTAACATCCACTTGACCCAAACTAGGTCATTTTGGGGCTAACATATGGTTCAATTTTATTTCAATATTTCGCTTGCATGTAGTGGTCTTTAGCAGTGGGAGGAAACTGGAGGACCCGGAGAAAACCCACAAGGCTGGACAGGCGACCCTACTCCTTATCACGTACAAGCGGGGAATCGAAACCACCCCAGTTGACTCAATGACAGACCTTATGATACAACGCGCACAGCACTTGTCATTGTGTATGCTTGTCTTTGTTGGTACCAACGTTAAACCCCACTTCATGTATAAGCTTCTTTGGGATCATCTACCATACATATTCTATAGAATTTTGCTGCTCAAAATTGATAACGATTTTTAACTCAAAACTAAGTATGAGTCTGGTATTTTACATTTATCAATCAAGGAAATAACTCTGGAACCAAGTATTCAAAATCAGGCCAGACCTCTGTAATGTGAACAGAAAGGAGCGACAACAATTAATTAATTAAAAATTTGTCTCCAAATAAATAATAATAGTGATATCAAACTGTAGGGGAAAAAACTTTGATGGTCCTTGACTGGTACCTTGCTATTTCTGCATCCTTAAATGTAACAAGTTTTGGTCGTCTTGATTTTCCAGACAAAGGATAAAGACAAGCTAAACAAAGTAATGAATAAGCTTGTTGCTGTAGAGATTCTATATTGGGATCTTCCATATGTACAGCTAAATAGGCACCATTTTTATCTGACATCATTAAAGTCCTCTTCTTTATACCATCTACGATCTCTAGAGAAAAAAAAAGTTAACATGTTTTCTTAACCTTTAACAACCTGTTTGAGTTTAAAATATAGTTAAGTTTATTAACCTAAAATTTGTCATGCAGCTCAAACATGTCAATAACACACAGGGGACATAAAATTGGGTTTATCATCCTACTGTTCTGTCTTGACAGGGATAACAAAGACAGGCGTACGTACACCTACTCTTATTTCGAATTCCAACTGTCAAGAGGGTTCTTTTTCATGCAAGCCAACATATACATGGAACTTCGGTTTTCATCCCATCTGAAAGACTAGTCATTGTCCTTGTTAGGACCTCCGCCCTGTACCACTGACAAAGGGAAACCCTGTGGAAAATCCAGGGCAACTTTCTCGCCCAACACCAGGATCGAACCCTGGGCCTCCTGGTTATTAAGCCTGCACCTTACTCACTGAGTCACCGTGGTTCCAACACAAAGGACAACTTATCAGTGAAAAAGGTGGCATATATTTTAACTTCATCACACAAAATCTGATGTAAAAGTTAGGTAGCCAGTGCTTTACTCTCACCAAGTCACACTGGCTCTCCTGGTTATTAAGCCTGCACCTTACTCACTGAGTGACGGTGGTTCCAACACAAAGACAACTTATCAGTGAAAAAGGAGGCATATATTTTAACTTCATCCCACAAAATCTGAAGTAAAAGTTAGGTAGCCAGTGCTTTACTCTCACCAAGTCACACTGGAACTAAGACTACCAGTAATACTAACCTGGTGCCTGTTCTATTATCAACCATACTGTATCTTCCTTAGGTAATTTACAGATTTCGCGTTCTCTGTTCTTCGAATTTTTCATGTTTTCCACCATCTCCTTTGAGAACTTGTCAAATTCTTCTGGATGATCTTTAGCATAATCATCTACGAATTGTGCTAACTTGCCTGGATCTAATAACTCTTTACGATTCATTCTGTAACTGAAATTACAATACAACACCATTTTAGTTTTCAAAAAAGATAAAGACTGTAAGCATCATCAGCACAAAATCTGTTACAGGCCTAGATAAATATTTGTTTTATCCATGTAGGCCTACATATATTTTGGATGCTGAAATGTTTTCATATTACATCATGGACACGAACAAAGAAATAGGCGAATCTTTAGAGCTGTCCACCACTCGCATTACATGTGAGTGATTAATGGTTTTGTGGAGGCAGATATTAAAGAACATCTGGCTCGGTGTCAACACTAAAAGGGGACAACATAAGTCTTAAAGCACAAATGTCTTGTGTATAGTTACAGGGATTACCAAATGGTCCAATGCATGCACTTTAGCTCATAAGGTCTATCATTCAGACAAATGAAATGAAATGGGGTTAACAATAACATCCTACTGTTCTGCTCCGACTGGGCTAATGAAGATGGGCATACGCCATAGGCCTACAGTGTGCTATATATAAGGGAAATTTTTCCCATACAACAGCGCTACTGCCTACTATTATATTGAATTCCAACTGCAAAGGGATCTTTTATATGCACGCCAATGTGTACACTTGATCTCAGTTTTTCATCCCATTTGAATGACTATACAGCTGTCCTTGACAGGCCCTCTGTCCTGCACCACTGAAAAGGGGAAACCACGCCGGAAAATCTCAATGAACTTTGGAGTACGTTGACCCGGCTACTTTTGACTTCCGGCCACTACTAACCCTAACCCTAAGTAGCCGGATCAACGTACTGCGCCTGAACTTTCTCGTCCAATACCGGGTGCGAACCTGCGACCTCCGGGCTAGCAAGCAAGCCTCCTATTCACTTAGCCACTGAAGCTCCCTGTCATGATTGAGACAAGTAGGCTACTCAAGTAGCGTGGTTTCAATTCCCAGATAGGTGTAGGCTCGCCTGTCTAACTAGCCTGGTAAGTTTTCTGTGGGTTTCCTCCCACTGCTTTTCGTACCCAATACGATCAAGCGAGTTATTGAAATAATTTGTGTTGAGTGGATTCACATATCTAATTTCTCTCTCTTTTTAGGCCAACCTACACGGTGAGATTCCACTTTTATTTTAACTCTCCAGTCCAGGCTATCCAACATATCTCATTTATCTGTTGCAAATGACGAAGTGAGGCAAATACACAAAACTTACCCGTAATGTACCCAAATACTAAATTATTATGTATGTTTAGTACTTTTCTGTCGTCTTTTCTGTACAAATCTTTTCGCTAATCCAATTTTCTTTTTTATATTTTTACACAACGTGATTTAATGTAGTCGCGATTGTCATGCACAGAAAATATCTTAAACCTGATTATCTCCCTTCAACCATAACACTGTCGCCATTGAGTCTATTATGACTGCCGACCTTTTTTTTGACAAATAGGAATTCATCATCGCTCACAAGTATAAGATACGAGGGCTGGCTGAAAAGTTCTAAGCCTAAAAATGATAGATCAGCTGGGTTGAAACCTAGGAGTATAATACTCCTTGGTAGTTGGTTGAAACAAACTTTTGCCACCAACATATTAACATTGTGATACAATGATTGCATTGAATGAATATCAATATTGTAATACTATATTAGTATAGTAATTACAAGGATTTGGCAAAATTCAAAATTGTGCTTTCGTAGACATAGATTAAGAATAAGAACTACAATCTATAGTGTTTTTGTCTTCCTACAAGACCATCTTGTGAACCTACCAATTGAAATTACCACAAATGGACAAAACTGGCTATAGAGCAGTGATCAAGTACCTGCAAATGAAAGGACTAACCCCAACACAGATACATGCTGACATGGTCTCCACTTTAGGGGATGATGCCCCTTCCTTCTCCACAGTAAAGAAGTGGGCGGCGGAATTTAAGCGTGGCAGAGAGAGCCTCGACGATGACCCACGTACTGGAAGGCCATCAACAGCAACCATTCAAGAAAACATTACCCGGGTGCATGACATGGTGATGGCTGATCCACGATTGACCACGCGACATATTGCCAGTATTGTGGGCATCTCTCATGAGAGAGTTGAGCACATTATCGCCAGCGAGTTAGGAATGACAAAAGTGTCTGCAAGATGGGTGCCAAAGCGCTTGACTGCAGATCAGAAAGGGTCTGATGTCCTGTGACAATCTGCGCTGTTTTGAAGCAGATCCTGATAATCTTTTGGCCAGATTTGTAACCATGGATGAGACCCGTTTCCAAAAATAAAAAAGGAACTAGCCGGTCATCATTATCCTAGTAATGATGACATCATGTCAGCTGTGAACAACTTTCTTTGACTTTAGGGTGACTGAAGAAAATTCCTTCCAGACCGGCATCCAGGCAAAAGTGTGTAGGCCAACACATCGAAGGGGATTATGTAGAAAAATTAATAGAAACCATCTACTTTATACAGGTCTTCCACATAAAGAACTTTTCATCCAGCCCTTGTAAATCGTTTTAGGACTAGATATATGATGATCGATTAATACAAGATCCACAACTCAGTGGTCTTATTTATCAGTCTTTACCCAACTCAACCGTTGCCACTATGTGCAAATTAGCCATTATAAATAACAAGGGCATATGGATATAGTTTGTATAGCCTTTTGTTTTAAACAGCAAAAAGTTTGTACAAGTAAGAAAACAAAATCGACCCCAAAAACTAGCTTTCAGTTGTTTAATAGGGCCATTATAATATGTACTGTTTATTATAAAATTACATCCCAAGTCTTTTTCGATTTCATTTACAAATAATTCAAGTCACATGCAATGAATTAGCTCAAATATATGAATAAGAAATATGAATATGTAAATTTATATGATTAATGATAAAAATGGTACAAATGATATGAATAAAAATGTATTAAAATAATTTCAGGGAATTAAAACCATACATTTATTTTTCATTTATTTAAATCTTATATTTATTTCTGTTCCTTCCACATAGATACTATCATAATGCCATTTTCTATTACATCTACATTCTGTTCCACATTTCTCCGATGCACATTTAGCGCATGGGAAATGACATCCCGGACAATCGTGATCCAGACAATCACAAATATCCACACCTGTCTCCCGGATCCTTCCTGCTTCATCATATAGACTATTGGGCTTTGTACTGAAAATAAACACAGTTAATTTTATTTTTACAACAAAAATGATATATACGAAACAAGAATCAAAAATAGTTTTCCTATTTAATTGGTTTAATGACATGGGGAAAGCACACTGGAGAATTTCTCGGCCAATACCGGGATCGAAACCTGGACCTCAGGGTAAGCGAGCCAATGCCTCACTGTATCAGCGTATGGGGATTAACTTCCTACACACCATGCAGCCTGCTTTGAGGGAAATTTTAATTTTGTTTGGACAGCTGCATCAAATTCCAATTGTTAAAGGTTCTTTTACGTGTACGCCAAAGTCCTATCCGAATGACTAGACGTTGTTCCTTGCTGGACTTGAAAATTCCGAGGCACTACATGTATATTGGTCAATGCCAGGAACGAACCCAGAACGCCCTGGTTACTGTGCCTGACTAGTCACTCGGCTACCCATGGTCCGACAATTGAGGAAATGATGAATGTGTGTATAGCATGTTCGAAATACATCACCAACGAAACATCAGCGTTAAGAATTAGTTATGTGCTGTGTGTTTTTCACTGGTTGGCATTGTCACCGAGGTGAAATCAGCCTCTTGAAGACATAATCCTTTATTTCCATACATTTCAGACACAGTGTAACCCATACCTAGGTTTTAACTTTCTCTGCATTTTTCGTAGTTCTCTTGTACTTCGTTCTGGATCGAAGTCATCAAGGAATTTTCCAGGATTAACAAAAGATAACATCTTTAATTCTTTTTCGGTCTGAAATAAACAATTGATATAATGTTATATAGTATAGTGTAATTTTCTTTAAATTCAAATCACCAAAAACCCTCTAAATCCACATAATGAATATAGTGTAATTCTCAATAAGGTGTTCGCAATGGGGATGCTCATGTGAACGTTCCGCAACTGAATTCTCTCAATCCTAAAGTACTGACATTCGAGTAAACCGGTGATTTCGGATTACAGCACAGCCAACGACTGCATAAGATGATATCTCAATCAACCATATGACAGCTGAACCATAATATTTGTCGCGACTGATGGAACTGTGACAGGATTGAATTCGGTGTCACTCGATGTTAATAGTGTCAATTCGGGACGTTCCTGACTGGCAATCACACATCCCCTATATAATAAGTGAATGGAATGGGACCTCTAGGTTAGCGAGTCGGCACCTTACTCAACTAGCCACCCTGATTCCCGAACAGGCATGATCAACAAAACAAAGACAGTACATAACTTGCAATATTATGGAAATAAATGAGAAATGTTATTGAAGTCCATACTTGAATCAAGAAGAGGTCAATAAATCTTCGTCTTCTACGATGAATGTGTGTGGAAGAGAAGTAGATGATGTTGATTTCAAGGTGTCGCTTTTTATCAATGAATATAATGAACAAAGACGGAGCATGTTAAACATGACACGCACGGGATGTTTCTTCCCCTTGTCTTTAAAGCACTTAACAACGCTTAAACCTAAACCGCGAGTACATTTAGTTTTTCATCTTATAAAAAAAGGGAGTGTGCAATATTTGACAATGGCAACGAACCCATTTAAATTAATACGTGTGTGGTTAAACGGCAAATAAAATCGTCATAGTGTACCAAAATATTATTCAGTATTTACATGTAGAGAGAGAAATGGGTTTTAACGTCCACTTGACACAAACTAGGTCATTTTGGGACTAACGCATAGTTCAATTTTATTTTAATAATTCGCTTGCGCGCGCAGGGGTCTTTAGAAGTTGGAGAACTCGGAGAAAACCCACGAGGTTGGACAGGCGACCCTACTCCTTATCACGTACAAACGGGCATGTAGTTATAATATGCGGCATAATTATACTATATTCAGTCATATACACCGATCCCCGTGCTGGCCTAGAAATGTTCATCGGTCGGGATTTTCTAGCCCGATTCCCCTTGTTAGTGATGCAGGACAAAGATCATGGTCAGGTACAGCGTATTGTCGTACGGAAAGGACAAAAACAAAGGTCCCGCGTACAAATTGGCGTGAATCTACAATAAACGTTGACTGTTGGAATTTAAGGAAGAGTACGCTATAACCTATCACTTTCAACCATTTCAATCAATCCAACCACCAAACCTTCTTTATCTCGAGTTGGTTTTCCCGCGATTTTTTTAATCTGTTTTGAATGCTTCAATAATAAATATAATGGATGTCCGTGACCTGGTGTTTGTTTACGATTATTTCAATTTTTGCGTTCTAGTTTTTTGAGGGTTTTTTTTTACACGTGAATGCCGCAGGTTAAATTTACGGCTTGTTGTCATCTCAAATACAAGTGAAGTGGCTATAATGTGGACGACAATACATTAAATGACGACACCGACCAGTGTTTATAGCCATGTGATAGTCCTAACATCCCCCGAATTATGCCGTTCTGTTCCATTTCAACGCAACGTATATATATATCTCGTTTGTTCCGTCCTTAAACCCAAAGGTACGCGTTCATTATCAATCCACAGACATTTTCTTAAATGAGTTTCGGCTCGCTACGTGAAGTATTAACTAATGTATTATTTGATAGTATTCTCAGAAAGTCAATTTTAGTGGCTCGCATTCTATTAAATTAGAATTTAAAACATTTGCTAGAAATGTATTTCCATTGGCTGCGCTCTGTCCACCCTTTATATTAAATTTTTACACCCTCGAATTAGATTGTTTTATCTCTTAGCTCTACTTGAACTAACATATACTTTATATACATAATAAGGTAAAGAGCTTTAAAAGATCTAATTACGGTGGGTCCCGATACACTCCACAATACCTCTGATTTCATTATACAGCAAGTTCAACGGGACTTTCCGGCGTGGTTCCCTCTTGTCAGTGGTGCAGAACGGAGGGCCTGGCAAGGGACAGCACAACGTCTAGTCGTTCGGATGGGACGTAAAACCGAGGCCCCGTTTACACGTACACATAAAAGAACCTTTGACAGTTGGAGTTCGAAATAAGAGTAAGCCTTATAGTGCCGCTGTCCGGGAAAAATTTCCTCATAGCACACTAAATGATGGTGTAAGCCCGTCTTCATTGGCCCAGTTCCGAGCAGAACACATTGGCCGAGAAAGTTCATTCGGATTTTCCGGCGTGGTCTCCCCTTGTCAGTGATGCAGGACGAAGGGCCTGACAAGGACAGCTGTCTAGTCGTGCGGATGGAACGAAAAACCGAGGTCCCGTGTACACATTGGCGTGCACCTAAAAGATCCCCTGGCAGTTGGAATTCGATATAAGAGTAGGCCGTAGTGCCGCTGCCCGGGCAAAATTTCCCTCATTGCACACTGTATGGCATATGCCCGTCTTCATTAGCCCTGTTTAGGAGCAGAACAGTAGGACGTTAAAACCCCATTTCATTTCATTTCATTTCCGAGCAGAACATTAGGACAATAAACCACAATTCATTTCATTTCGTTATGCAGCTTTTGGGTTTTTTCTTATCGATGACAATAACTGCTGTAAAGTCACTTACTACAGTATTCAATAAGTGTGGACATTAACGCAAGACGACTGGCTATATACATACGGGATGAGACCGGTAACGGGTAAATGTAAATATGAGATTGCGACCGAGAAAGGAAACATGCGACCATCTCCATTGAATTGTAAGCAAAGTGATTTTACTTGCGCCTTCCGAAGCACTGTCATATTTGTCTGAGCTGGTTTTCACTTGATTTGATTTGAATAATGAAGTGACATTTTACAGGAACTTCATTTCAATCACCTTTGGAACAGAATCGTCGTCGGCATAAAAAGAATCCGATGACTGCGTATAACCAGGAAAATCCATACTGTTCAAGGGCTTCTTTTTTGAGCTATCCGACTGACTAACCGATGAACTTCTATCTCCATTACTAGTAGAATTATTACTGTCTTCAGAATGTATCGAAATCCTGTCTTGACTGGAATCATTCATAGCTGAAAAATACAGGTTTAAAGATATTGATTTTATGTTTTACATGATAAATATAAGCCTAAACGATAATGGCACAGAATAAGCGTGTATAATTGAATCCACGTTGTACGAGAATCTTTTATCGATAACCATCGTTATTTATCTTAGAGAAGGTTTAGATAAGTTGGCCGTTCTTTCGATAATAGTTAAAAAAATAGATAATGAAAAATGAATATATTCTGAGCGAGTTATCAGTGTTTGAAGTAATGACAAGTTGTAGCATAGATTGTTTATTATCGTAACAACAGTGCTGTAAAATCGAGACTATGTATCGATCATCCAATTTTAAATTAAATTATTAAATGACGATCTAGTGAATTGATTATAGGCTTGCTGTGTGAATGAATGTCTAAATAATAGTTTATATAACATTCGAGGCCAAAAAAAGACATGCAATATGCAGATTCAGCGCTTACATAAATGCATCTTTAACCAACGTAGAGACTATCCTCGAGATTTGTAATCAGCTGTTTCTGCACATTAACGGCGTTGTATTTGGTTAAAAGACGACGATTCATATGTACACTATGACGGCATTATTTATATTTGCCTATGTTTTGAGGGGAAAAAAGTCACGTAAGACAGAAGTCGTTGCTATTTCAATTTTTTTTGTTGTTGTTCATGTCACTTCCTTTATTAATTTAAAAATAGTATGGTTACCGGAATATTACGGGGTGTATGCTAATTTCATAGCACGAAATTAGATAACGGTTTATTTATAACACATGTAATAAAAATAACGCATGACACAATTATATGGAAAACAAGTTACTTGAAGAGTTTATTTCAGTTACTTAAACAATTTACATGTAATAAGAGTTTAATTCTATGGGTCCAAATGACTAATTTCTCACGACAGGGTTCCTTAAAATCGGCAAACGAAAGGGTTCTTTCTCTTAATGTACTTTCAATGAATGAAAGCAACAGTTCTTATTCAAAACAACAGGCTAACGCCCATACCGATTTCAAGGTTTGACTAAGTACCCCAGTAGCCTACATTACTGTACTGTTAGTAACGTCATTGTAGATTCCAGTAGTTCTATCCAATAAACTACATAATAATAGAAACACCAAGGTATATATATATTACGTTAGACAAAAAACTACGCGATCGACAAGGAGAAGAACTAGTAACCTTTCATAATGCATTATGAAATATGTTATACGATTCTAATTTTGATCCATCACTTTCTCTTTTAAGGATTGAATATGTCAGTTAATACTTAAACAAATGGAATCGTTGGTTAACAATGAGCTTCCGAGCGAAGCGAATCTCAAATGCTTTGAGTATTAAATGTACCGGTCATACAAACCTACACTTGACAGATTAAATGTAGCCTAGTCCTACCGATAATACAATTACCATTTTTATACCGAGCAAATTCGACTACTACTTAATCTAGTCTTTATTCGGCTCAAATAATTTTTCGTATTTCATAGAATTATGCCCTAAATTACATCTCAAAACTTATTTTAATGTCAGGGAGTGAGAGGGGGCAATGGGACAAATAGGTACGTAACCCATGATGATGCCCTGAATGTGAACCGGGTCAAACCGCAAACGACTTCTTCGCATCAGACTTCTGACTTATCTGTCTTTCAATTTGCACTGCCATCGATGATATCCTAGGCTAGTCTATAATATTTTCCATACAAAATAAATTAAATCTTTTCACCCGCCTATATATATACGTTCTAGTTTTCCATTTCGGGTCTCCTAAGTAAGCGTTGACATATTTACATACAACAGTTATTCACAGAAGTTCCAGCATGGTTCCAAAAAAGTAGGGAATCCCCGAATCCCCCTTTCTTTGTTGTGAATATCTCGTTTTTACGATCAAGACTTAACCGGAAATAGAGGATAACGTCCAGACACTCACGATTTCATAACAAGAGATCGACGCTCTTCTCCAAAATAACACCATATTATTCCAAACAAACTGTATGATTTCACTTTGATTTTGTGAATAAAAAAATACCAAAAAGTATTCTGTTCTTTCAAAAATAAACAAAAGAAAAAATAGGAGGGAGAAGGGCCGAACCTTTAACATTAATTATTCCCTAGATTATTATCTGGGAAATTGTCTAGTTCATTTATACTATATAGTATTCCTTTCTTACTGAACATAAATTTTGAAAAGGGTAAACAGTTCATTATTAGAATTGACCAACAGTCAAAAAAGGAAAAAAGCATGAAATTGTGAAATAATATTGTCAGCAATATTTTTGTCTGGGTATTCGAGACTACGGGCACCTGCCTTTGCATTTAAGGCGTTCACGTATTGGATGAAATCTTTAGCGAATCAACGCCATGGTTACATAAATTGTTGTCGTCATTAGTCTCTTTGATCCAGACACTCGTTGGTGAATAAATTTCTTTAGGACCTGGTAGATCTAGACTAAATTGTCGTCAAACTGATTATTAATTGTGTTTCGGGTGATTCATGAGTCATTATTTGTTGACGAAAAGTGATTTTAAGAACAGTTTTACGGATTATAACGGTTTGGTAAGTGTCTCAAATTGACTGTACTTTATCAGATAGACTAAGACCTTCAATGTTTCTTATTCAGGAAGACATTCTGCAGAGAAACGGAATCTGACAGAAATGAGAAACCAGTGTTGTTTCTTTTCTTCTCATTTGTCCGTACTCTTCACTTCACTCTGAAATTAGGTGAAACATTCATACTTGGTTGTGGAATGTCGACATAGTTGTACATGTTACTGAATCTATGTATGTTTATACTATGTTCAAAGAATTCATAAAAATATCATCAATGTCAATATAATTAATTGTGGTTCACCTGGGAATTATTTTTGTGATGGGCCAAGTTGAAGTAGAGCAACAAAAAAAGAAAAAGAAAGATAGATTAAAGGGATATGTCATCATTTTTATTGTCAATAACAGTAATTTGACAGATCCTATTCTATTGTATTGTTTTCGATGACAATATACATATTTAATAATCAAACACACGATTATACCCCACAGTGGGTGATTGAGATCGAACATCATCAAACATTTTGAGCCCAAGCTGGCCAAGGTGGGGATGACACAGCCCGGAATGAAAGAACCTGATCAAAAAATAGGGTGGGATGAAACCACCTGCATACGTTATATTGGACTCTATTAAATTTATATCGGTATTGCCAATGGAGAAATCCACTAAACGTGAAGTTATATTTATTATCTCTTAACTATCTATGACAGACATCACTGTCATCAGTCACAGTGAATTTGAGATGAAGAGTCTCCCGACAGGAGATGTTACATTTGTTGTAGGCCCTACTAATAAGCTTACACAGCATGCAGAATTGATTTTCTGATATATGTTAGCAGTGGTTTATGGTTTGTAGCCTGATATATAGGAAGGTGAAATATCAGATTAAGTAACAAACATTGGAATTAGTACAGATACAATTCACAATAAGCGTATACACATGATAAATTTATAATTAACTATGTGCATGTTCTCCATCCACCAGTCCATTTTGTTATGAAATGAATTATTATTTAATAAATAAAAGGTCACAATATAGATAGGCAAAAGAAAAAGGAAGAGAATAATGATCAGTGGTGGGTAAAACATTAATATCCTCTTCCTGTTTTAAAGGTTAACATAAAATAGCCATGGGTATTTTACTTGTAAACATCCCTATTTCTCTAGGAAATAAATATTATTTATAAAGGCTGAATTGGCTGTACAATAATACAATAGAGGGCAAGCATATGAAATAGTATTAAAGAATAGGGATTTGAAGAAAATTTGATGGTGTCGTGATAATGATCATGTATGACAGATCAAATCCAAGACTGTAACAAATTAACTCCTTACTGAAAGTACTGTATAGATGAGTGGAAGAATCTCTGTACAGTTCAGGCAAGATCGGATCTCAGTATACGGTTGGGGACCAAAAGTAAGATAATAAAATAAAGGTAATATTGCCCAAGCAATGAACTTGGCAAGACTGTATATTAGAAGTAGAGTAGTTTTAATCCAGGATGCGTTTTGACCGCTTTCCCTTTTATCAATGAATGACAGATCTCAATACACATTTATTGTATAATCAATACATGACCAATTCCAAAACTCAACTGACTTCCAGTGCTATCAAGTAACTATACACACCTACATGTACATCATCTTTGTGGGGTGTACACATATTTTTTTACCAATTGATAAGTATTGTACAGTATTGAAATAAATATTTTATTATTTGAAATTTTACATGTAGGTATTGCGACATTGTTGAATATTACCAACAGCTGTCTGATTATGACACATACATACTGTATCCTATTACAGTATTTGAATTAAGAATTGGGAAATAATTACATGTCCAACAAACCATTTCTCTTGTATGTATTTTGAGGAAAGGTGGGATGAGGGGAGCAAAAATTTATCATTTACGTTTTACATAACAGCTCTGGTGTACAATGTATTGTGTACAAAAATAATTAAATTTGTGAACTTTAGAAAACAGGCATAAGAATGTGAACTTAAATATACATCTTTTCAAGTACAGGACTGTCTGTACATGTACATGTATATGTCAAACTGTCTTGTGGGGAAATCCATCTACTTCATACTTCGAGAATAGATCTCTGCCCTAAATGGCCGCCATATCCAAACAATTAGTATACTGTTTTGTAATGCGGTTCTACTCTGTTTCACATCTGTCATACACACAAAGAACAAATAGACTTTTTCAATTTTATTAAATGGAAGCAGAATAAATACTTAACAAAATTCTCGAAGTAGATACATAATGTTTTAGACTAACATCGTCGATTTAGGACTTAGAATTTCGGTCAACTAGCTTAGTGTCTTTTCTTAAGCGGAGCTAACTGTAGACAGACAGGATAAGTTTAGTATGGGGATCCTGGTGTCTTGATGAGTGTACATGTATGGTGGTGACTCACCAATCCGGAGGTACATGTACCAGGTTCGATCTCTGTTTTCCCTTGTCAATGTCAAAGATCTTGTGACATACATGTACATGACGTAGTACACTGTGGCTTTTATCCATCTTCATTATCCTGGCTGGTGCAGAAAAGTGAGACGTTAAACCTCATTTCTTTTCATTTCATTTTCAACATACATTATGCAAGAGCTAAATCTGCCAATTGCAGGTCTTTCTATAGGCCTGAAATGTTATCTAAATTACTAATTAGACATTAATTAACTTATCCAGACCATAATCAACTCTTGATGGCATTGCTAGCCTGCGATATTTACTGGATTAGAACCAGGTCTGCTGCTTCTGATTAAATCAAAAAATGGATAATCAAGACTATGTTTTTTATCGTACCAACTTTAGTAATGATGATCGAGACTAGGCCCAAAATTCAATCGCTAAATACTCGGTTCAGGGTGGATCAATTTGACTGAAATTTTCCGCATATTTCATTTACATTATCTAGTTTTTAACTATTATTGTGATAACTACCAGCTCTTTATCTAATCTCCCATAATGCAGGGGCGGATCCAGAGGGGGGGGGTTGGGGGTCGGAACCCCCCCTGCTCAGTTACATACAAAATTTTGTAAATCAACATTTCTTGGACGTGTGCTTTATTGTTTATCGGCAGATATGGGACAGGATGGGCACTCAAAGCACGAGATAATGATATAGACATTACATGTATGTGATATCACAATTGATGCTTTGCAATGCATCCATGAAATTGAATCACAATGTCATTGTATTAATTCATAATAAAAATTGACGTCAAACTAGGTGTTGAATTTCTCTGTTTAAAAAGCTCAATGTGTATGTACATGTATATACGCCAAAATGACGATAGAGACTATGCAGGAGGGTGGGGGGGGGGGCGGAGATACATTGTCTCAGGAACCTGGCAAACCCCCTCCTGCAAAAATTCCTGGATCCGCCCCTGTAATGTATCTTTAATCTCTTAGTGTTGATATAAATGCTGTGGGTTGTGGTATACACGACTAACTGTGAGACATCATCTTGTGTTATAAGGTATACATGTAGGTATGTAGAAAGGTCTGTCATCATCTGATGGGTTGGATAGATCATGTACATGTAACATTTCCTGAAAATATTTTATCATCAGTTGAACTTAGTCTGATGTTACTTACTAAAGGGCAAAGGCTGAAATAATTTTAAATATACATGTAATTGTAAGGACACATGTACCACTGAAAATAATAAGTACACTTTTCTTGTGATTTTAATCTTTTTTTCACTGTATGGCTTTTTATGTTATTTATTGATCCATGGAGATATTAGATGAATGTGTAGCCCTTCAGCAGTTTGTTTGAATTGCATACAAGTCAACAAGTGAAACTGATGTATCATTTATTGATTTGGTGTAATAACTGGGAGTTGTCCATTCTACCACTGGTCATACAGAAATATAATGCGATCTAGACACTGTATAATCTTTTTTAATATTATAGGTATATATTATCATAATGGAGTAATTATAATTAAGCCTATGAGCATTAGGCTGCTGGTGAAGTTGTAAACAGTATGGAAATGGGATTAAAGGCTGGTATGGAACCTGATGAAGTAACTATAGTGGGTAAGTACATGTAATAAAATGAAACAATGAACTGGACCTGACCTCTTGTATAAACTTAGTAGTATCTAGTTGATTAGGTGGGATTTATTCATGGTGTACTATATACATGTATTTCTCTTGAAGATCTAATTTGAAAAAAAATTAGAATAACCTCAATATCATTACAAACATCTCAAATATCCTAATGATCAGAAAAAATAATTGTGTGTCCGAAAAAAAATGTCATTGGAGAAATTAAAAAACGAAAGGAGGATATCTTTAAGAAATTCACACGTTTTTTTTTTGATATTGCCCTCTCAGTATACACAGTGACGAAATAACTTCAAAGACTAGATGTATGATGCCAAATATATTCTTAGTGTTATTTTACCAGTGATCACCTACATTCCAAACACCTCACAATTTTAAATAATGTAGCATATTGGTGGGACATGTACTTGTGCATATAAAAAACATTTTTGTCAGTGAAACTACTGAATCAAATTATTTACCAGTAATTTGAGTTGTAAAATTCATTAGGAATTGTGTGTAACAGCCGTAACCAGATTTTTAGTAAAGTACTATACAATTAATTGACATTACTGGTTCCTTTAAGGATTAAAAGTGTAGTCAGACACTGAATGAAGAGCCGTAACCTGATTTTAGTAAAGTACTATACAATTAATTGACATTATTGTGTCCCTTTAAGGATTAAAGTATTGTCAGACTGAAGAGATTTAGTTAATTGGCATCATTTAGCCAGATTGCTATATTGATTTAGGTGGATAACTAAGGATTACACTAATCCTAATTATATTATCTAGTTGAATGCATTCTTTACTCTGTAGTGTAGCCAGTAACCCCATAAAAGTTTTGTTAAATATCTGTCTGCACTTTTTCTCCCAAGTCCACTGAGCAGTGCCAGATTGGTGTATCTGGGCATTACGCCATTAGAGCACCTAGCCAAAAACATTTTTTGGGTGTTTTGTCTGTACATGGAAATTTGATTAAAGATGGCTATTAATCTGTTGATTAACAAAATGATTTTAAATTGTTTTATATTTTCTTCATAGTTGTTGATATTTATGTTTCTGTATGAACACCAAAGTGATATTTAGGGGGTGGTCAAATCGTCTATCACATGCCTTTACAGTTCTAAGGTTTGTGGCATGGTTTCGACCCCAAGCTTGTACAATATAAGGAGTACTGTCCTTTGGTTTCCTCTTACTCCTAAAGTGAAATAAAATGAAATGGGGTTTAACATCCTACTGTTCTGCTTTGACTGGGCTAATGAAGACAGGCATACCCCATACAGTCTGCTATGAGGAAAATTTTTCCCGGTCAGCAGCACTATGACCTACTCTTATATCGAATTCCAACAGTGAAGGGATCTTTTACGTGTACAACAATGTATACACAGGGCCTCCGTTTTTTTGTCCTATCCAAACAACTAGACAGCTGTTCACTCCTAAAGACCCCTACACTAGTGCTGGGTATTGCCACTGCAGTCACGATACGATGCGATGCATGTTGTGATTGAGCTGCTGCAATACGATACATATCACTATTCAATATATACCAAGAAAACAACAGGATAAATGTATAATTGATATTTTTAGTCCTGCCGATGTCGAAGAAAAAAGACTGTTGTATATCACGATATTGATAGGTATCAAAATAAGGACAAAAACAATTTAAGACTGTTTGTGTACTTATGGATAATGTGTGACGTGGTAATTAAGAGTGACAGATTTCTTACTGAAGTGACAAAAAACATAAAAAAAAGAATCGTGAAATATCGATTCAGTGTACTGTCTCTCGATTCGACATGCAAATCGTGAAAAGGTGAATCACGATACATGGATAAATCGTGCCAGCACTATCCTACACACAAGCAAATTCTTGAAATAAAATTGTTATATTATGGAAATGTAGTTTTAAAGTACAATGTATTAAATGCCATACTTTAATAACCTAGTAATCTAGTATTTGATGTAGATATTATACATGTAGATGTATGTGTATAGGTACAGTGTATGTTGACTGGACATGCAAACACCTGTCTATTTTATCTGTACTGGTATATGTACATGTAGATGTCCACAAGCTGTAATGCATGAACTGTTGAAAAGGTTAATTAGTGGTCACCAAGTTTAAAGTCCTACAGTACAATAATTATGTGTACATGTACATTACACTCATAAAATCTAATTTTGTTTTATTACTCATATATGTACATCAACTTTAAATCTTTTGGATTTATTTTTAAGTATAAATGTCTACACGTGACAACTTTCTCAGAGTAATACATCATATATCATTCAAAATTCAGGTTGTTCTAGTTTGTCAGAATTTGCAAAAAGCTATTAGTGCAGTGATATATATATGCAATATATTGCAAAATTTGTTTTCTTAGAGCAAAAATATTATTTTTCATAGAGCAAGAAAACTATTTTTCATAAAGCATCATTTGAAACAGTTTAAAGATATATCCATAGATTTTTTTCACTGCTATTTTGGAATTGGAATTTTGATAGTGATTGTAGAACATCAAACTACAATTTCTGAAGTCACCAGTAAATTACACATGCTATTGTTGTGCTGGTTTACTTGAATTATTAGGAATTAAATGAAGATACATGTAGCTAATAAAAGTCTATTTCCCAACAAAATGAAAGTAGAGTAACACTATTGACACCAGATATGATATTGAGATGTAATGTATTTATACTTATGATTGATTTTCTTTTGACGGCCATAATTGGCATGAATTAAATCGTGCAGTTATACAGTGTAGGCTACATGTACATGGTGAATTTAACTAATCAGAAAACACGCAAGATTTGAGGTCTCATTAATTGATCGTGTTGCCAATATTTGTTACGTCTGACCTGGCCTGCTCTGTCAGATCTTTGGCAGACTTTTTGTTGATTTGTTTTTTGCATCTTGGACGACATTTGCATTGAATGTTACAAACTCCTGGTGGTCTCAGATTCTAGAGCTTTTTGTTATGGCAATTCATACAGCAATTAGATTTAAATAGAAAAAAAACTTATTGGTTTTAACCCCTGACATTTGTACAATGTATGTTTATGTTGTATGATAGAAGCCTGTGTTGTTTTTCTATTCGTGAAGTTCAGTAAATATTGAATTACTGTTATTTTCTCATCCTTTAACATTTATTTACACACTTGTGACTTAAATATTTCTTGGTATAGGAAAGGTGTCGCGTCTGTACAACTGGCCTTTTGACCATGCTATTTAAATAACGTCATTTGTAGGGAATTTGTTTTTCGTTTGTCAATACATTAACCGTTAACCTGTGTTTAAAGAAAACTGTCGATTGGAACAATAAATCTTAATTGATTATTAACCTTGTTCAAGTTTTCACTCTCCCGATTTTAACACACAGTTAAAATGAAATTATTTTGGCTATAAAATGTTGGTTGACCTTCCTTTACCTGTTTAGAATGGTTAAAGATAGTCATGTGCAATACGTCTCTCCTGATTTACAATTCAAATAAACTAGTAAATCTTCTTTCATTCAGGGTCATTTAAGGTGACCTGTATAAATGTAGTAAAGAAGGAAATTTTAAAGGCTTTTGTTTGAAAATGTCCAGTTTTTATATATGATAAAACCATTGGTGGGAATGGGAACAACAATGGGGAGGGGAAAAGATATTCCTTTGCTACTTCAAGTAAATCCAAAATGACAATTTTCGCATATAAAAAATAAAAGCTGTTGAAATGTGCATGCCTTGTGCTACATGTAGATGAAGCTATCAATTTTAAGATGATCGTTTGTCAGCCAGTTCGTAAAATAAGCCTTTCTTGAAAACAGATTGTGAGTGGGTTTTTAGAATTGGTTTATTTTCCCCAGATTTGCAATGTGAATTATTGAAATAAAAATATAATGTGTTAGTCCCAAAATGACCTGGTATGGTGTCAAGTGGACTTTATACTCTATTTCTTTCTTTCTCTCTTGTGATCTACATCTACATATTATTGTTAAATGTATAGTCATAGTATAATTAATAACACATTTAATTGATGAATAGAATTGTGAGCTATTATGTATTCATTCTGATATATTTTCTGAAGTATTTAATATATGTTATAGACCGTTGCATTGTAAGGTCTATCATTGAATCAACTGGCGTGGTTTCGATTCCCCGGTTGTACGTGTCAAGGAGTAGGGTTGCCTGTCCAACCTCATGGTTTTTCTCCGGGTCCTCCGGTTTCCTCCCACTGCTAAAGACCCCTACGCGCAAACAAATTATTGGAATAAAATTGAACCATGTGTTAGTCCCAAAATGACCAAGTTTGTGGTAAGTGGACGTTAAACCCCATTTCTCTCCCTCTCTCTTTTAATGTATATATGTTACTATATTGTTTCTCAATATATCTGATACAATGTAGCGGTACATGTATGTAACTAAAGTGTACAAGATTTTATTGTCTGATGTGAAATTTTTAACAAGTAGCTGAAACAGGTAGATAACCTGATTATTTACATACATATATACCTATATACCATGGTGAGATATAGGTAAACCTTTTGAAGTGTACATCTAGGTATGTAAGTTACCTTAACCTACATTTTATAACCACACCAACATATTTACCTGACTACAAGAAATTATTCAACACTTGTAGATGTAGATAAATCTACTGATACAGGACCTACGTAATACATACTATGATACATTTATATTATGTAAATCTAGGTGTCATCTATTATATATTTGATTGTATGCATTATATTCTATACACTGTACATGCAAAATATATACGCAATAAGATTAAGTAAATATTTTTGTAGAATTCAAAACAACCCATTGTTAACCAAACTTAGAAAAAGGAACGCCCATTTATAGAAAAATCGTCACTAAAAGAAATAACAAACAAGTACAATCTATATAATCAAGGAAAATCTGAGAAAAAAAAAAATAAATTGATAAAGAATTAACCGGCTTACTGACAAGAAATATTTTGATCTTCACTAGACCTATTATCAGATTGTTAACATCATTTTTCAATCAATCAGGAGATACAGATGTATAAGCTTTGTTTAGAATTTGTCTGGCAATAAAATGTCATATTATTAGCCGTTTTGTTCAATTCATAATTCATATAGAAATATGAAAATGACACAGCATATACGTGAAAAATATGGTGTATTAACTATTAATGTCTTTTTAAATGTTGTCTAATCTTAGTAATATCTGTGTCTATGATGATAGTCATCTTCAATCCAATACATACAAATCTACATGTATATAGTGACAATCAAATTTTATAGTTTGCATACATGTATATAGACTAGCATATGTTTAAGGTCCGTCTTATGATCTATATTGTAATAGGGCTTTTACTTCAGAACTTTGCTAGACAGTCAATAATTTTAATTAGCAAGATAATTTTCCAAAGAAATTTACCGTTTTTAGCATTATTTCATTTTTAAATATATTTTTCAGTGTTTTTACACATAAAAGGTATGAATTTAACTTTAGTTATTGTGTTTTACAGTTAAAGTTTGTGATAGGCAAGAGCTCTCCCATTGTATGATAATGAGGGGGTGGGGGGTTTTCTCACCTGATCAATGTTATTTTAAGATAATCTTTTGATTCCTATCGTGGCGAGAATTTTGCTTGAACAAGGATTTTCCTGCATCTTCAAATTCTAATTGTCCAGAAATTTTCCATGAGAATTTAATTTTCGGTCTGAGAGGAATTGGCTTCTGACCAGACAAACTTTCTTTATCAACCCACATGGGCATCGCTGCCGACACGGGTAGAGACATGATCATCCAGACATTCTTCTATGGCCACATTATGATAAACGAACCCAAGACATTCTCCAGCACTCTACTGGTATATGTTGCTTGTCAAAGCATTACTGTTAATTAGACAGCACATTTTGTTTTTACTTATCTATATTGTAGACATGAAGGATAGTTACTGAGTACATGAAAAAGGTTGCCATGACACATACATTGTACCGTACATGTATTTAATAAATTTAAATTCATTATTCATTTATTTGATATTTGAAATCGAAACAAAAAGAAGATAGTTTGCAAGAAAGTATTGTTATTATTCTATGTGATTTAAAAAATATATAATAAAATAATAAGATTCCAACTCTTTTATCACACAAGTGGACTAAGGAATGTTAAAGTGTCTGAAGCTGTTTTAATCCTTTTCAAACTGAAAAATTGTGAAATTAATATCAGTCAAAACTGGTTTAATTCTGTTCAGTATTTAAAATTGTCAACATTTGACATTCTCTGTAGACGATATACTTCTTTGGGGTGGGGGGGATGGCCGAGTCTGTCATTGAGTCAACTGGAGTGGTTATGATTCCCTGGTTGTACATGATAAGAAGTAGGATCACCTGTCCAACTGCGTGGGTTTTCTCCGGGTCCTCCAGTTTCGTCCCACTGCTAAAGACCCCCTATGCGTAAGCGAATTATTGAAATAAAATTAAATCATATGTTAGTCCCGAAATGATCTAGCTTGTGTCAAGTTGACTTCAAACCCCATTTCTCTCTCTCTGTAGACGATATTAAAACTAGATATGGTCAAAACAACCCTGTGTCACATATAATCATCACTAAAATCTTATGGATCTTTCTAATCTGATTGAATGCAAGCTTGGAGATAAATTGATTTCTTAGGAGCCACGGAGCCTACGTAAGTAAGACACTGATTTTCTAACCTGGAGGCCGTGCGTTCGCTTCTGGTGTTGGCCGAGAAAGTTCAAGATTTTCTGGCGTCGTTTCCCCTCGTCAGTGGTGCAGGTCGGAGATCCTGACAAGGACAGCTGTCCATTCGTCCGGATATGACAAAAAACCAAGGTCCCATATACACATTGTTGTGCATGTAAAAGATCCTTTGGCAGTTGGAATTTGATATAAAAGTAGACCGTAGTGCCGTCTTCATTCATTAGCCCAGTCGGAGCAGAACAGTAGGATGTTAAACTCCATTTCATTTTATTTTGATTTCATTATCAAATGTTAAATTATCATTTACAGTCTTATATTTTAGACATGAAAATTTCTATATAGTCAAAAAAAATGAGGATCCTCATGTTTCTTCTATAATCTTTTTTATGACAAGACATCCGTGATTTAAGATTTATGTTATGTAATACATTATATCACAATTTATAACTGTAACATGTAACAGATCTCTTTATAAGGTTTTTTTATTAAAAGATTAGTCCATCCAATAAATCTTTTCAAGAAGGATATACTGTATATCTTTTAACAGAGTAAAGTGGTTGAATCAGACATGAAAGAGATCAAACTTAATAGTTATTTGTTTTGAGCTCTGTGTGTGATGAACACGGGTACTGAATGATATAACTAATAATTTGAAATAAATTTTATAATTATTAAAGCTCTGATTGCTGGGTGTACTTCTTTAAAGGCCCAATACCACTCTTGTTGTAACTGAATAATATGTCCCAATCTTTATTCTGGTCAACAAATTGCACTATTTTACAATATTCCAATTAATTGATGATACAAATTTCATCTTAACACACCTAATTTAAAAAATTGGAAAAATTCAACTAAATGATTTGAAAAGCCTGACGTAAAGCTTTTCAAATGTGACTAGGATTTAAAAATATTTTTGAACCCTCTGGACAAGTAAAATAGGATTTAATGGATAATTTACGCAACAGGTAGGACACTAACACAACTAGTACTTAGAATAAGGCTATTTTTTATTTTTTTGGAGCTGTCAAGCCAACAAGAGTGTTATTGTCCCTTTAACATTTTATTTAAGTTTGAGGTTAACTGGGTTGTTGGGTGGTCGCTTGTTCAAACGAGTTCACTTTTAGATCATATGGCCTGTCATTAAGTCAGTTGGAGTGGTTTCAATCCTAAACTTGTATGTTACAAGGAATAGGGTCATCTGCCCATCCTCGTCTCCAGGTCCTCCTGTTTCATCCCACAGGTAAAGATCCCTACGTGTAAGCGATTTATTGAAATAAATTTTGTACCATACATGTTTGTTAGTCTCAAATGACCTAGTTTTGTGGAGTGACCTAGTTTGTTTGGAGTGGACATTAAAAAAACCTATTTCTCCCTTTCTCGTGACGTAGAAGTTAGATGATATAACCACCTGTAGGGCGGGTCCGTTGATCAGTATATATATTATAATATATCAAGCTCAGTCATTGCATTTAGTAAAAGTGTAAAAATCAACACGTCTAGAATAAAAATCACCATTGATAATATCACATTAAAAACATTTACATTGACTGCTGTAAGGTTTTTTATTTTTATAAATGATATTTTATTCATAAATGAATAAAAACAGGCATGACATATTTAACCTCTCTCCTCTTTCATTTGTTTGTATTCATTGGGCGGAAAATTTATTTGATATCATTGCAATATAGATGGGCGAGGTCTAAACTCAGACAAAGGTGTGGTACAAAATAGATGTCCTGTTTATCTTGATCTTTGATCATGGATTTATTTATTAAAAAATATTGAATGTTTATATCTTACAGTTCATGGTGCTAGAGGTCTACAAGGTAAAAAACCAGGTGAGTAGGTTGATACGTCTATCACATGTAGAAATAAATCATGCATGTCTATAATAAAACAAATAAAGTCATGCTTCACTTGTTCTATATATATAAAAAGGTTTTAACATAGACTTGTTTATAAGTATAGTATTAATGAATAATGTATTGATCATATTTTTAGTTCAAAGATTTAGAAATATTGCACCTTTTGACATTTAAATTAGAAACCCATTATCCCCATACATGCCATGGAAAGTAAATCTCCATTTAAGTATAATAGGGTTTTCAGTGTTTGAAAGGTATATTTGACTGTAGGCTATTGAAGTATACAGTAGTGTATATTAATATAACTAGACACCTTGATGGATGACACTGACATCAACCATTTCACAGAAAAAATGTTTGAGCCTATGTATGGCAGTATTTTTTCTGTTGACAGTTTTAATAGTATAGATAATTTATTAAATATGACACTTGACAAGGAAATCGTTGTGATATTTTATCACCCCAATTGGTCTATTCTGTTGATGAATTATATTGATTGTGTTTTTACTTCTGACCTCAAGACCTACATGTATTGGAATAATATATAAGTATAAAAAGAAATCAATAACTGATAAAGTAATGACTAGGTCTGGTTTGTACCATTCTGTTGCGTACTTAGTAATTTACAATCTAATGTAGTTTTGAAATACACCTAGTCACCTTCTGTAGTGTACGCCTGTCTGTGCCATACTTAATTTGCAATAAATTTCATCTGGCTAATGAACCAAAAGAATTTGGAATTTAGTTTGTTCCATCCTATTCAATTGACTTGCAAGAGCAAATTGATCTAGCTATCATTGGGTATTAGAATGAGTTAAGTTTGAACTGCCATTTCTTTCTACCATATTAGGTAGAATGTGCTTGTGAATTATGTCACCCTGGCCTGTACATTCATCTGGCACCCACAATTACATTCCAATCTTGTTTAAAAAGCTAACAGGAAGAATTCAAATTGATTCTCAATGATATCTGATGATTTATTCCAGAGTAATGTCCCTTTTAGCAGCCTGGAGACAACAATTATTTAACTTTAGTAATAATTGTAAACCAAGATTTCTATCTGATTCATCTAACTCATGTTATACATGTCTCTGTGAATGTATAATCAGTATAAACATATTGCGTTATGTAACTGCTAGTAGCTGCATGTTTTATTGGCTGGCAACCCATGTTTAATGAAATATTTGATGTATGATTACAGGAAGACACAAGTATTCTGTAATTTTTGGTGTTGGTACAAAGAAATTCCGTACAGCCGTAGTTAAAGATGCTACTGGATCACCTGATTGGAATGAAGAGAGTGCCATGTAAGTACCGGTATACCATTTTAAAGTTACAAACCAAACCAAACCTAAGTCTTTAGTCTTAACTGGTTTAAATGTTTCTTTTGATGTAAGATCTGATTGAACTTAAAGGAGCTAAATCGCTAATATCTGGAACCTAGAAATTGACACAAATGGATCGCAACGCATATAATAATGTAATATGAATGTATATAAACTGATTTACATTCAATCGTTTCCATTTTTATTCTTATTTCAAATCAGTTATGTTCCACGAAATACGCCAGAAGTCTCAATGCAATGGCAATCTCTAGTGTCTGGTTATTCCAGTCTACACCGATATTTATTGTGCATGCTCTCCAGATAAGAATATAAGGTCACCATTTGACATGATGTGTGGAATATGTCTAGCTGCGTTCTTTGAGTCCCTTGTTCCAAATGGCACTGAAACGCATTATGGTACACGATTTGTGTACCAATGGTAAAATGTTTATTTTGTCTTGAATATTTGATATCAGAAGCCCATCTTTTCCCTGTAAGATCACAAGACCATTGTTGATTTGAATTGACAAATAATTCGTGTTTTCAATGTCGAAGATTTTTGATGATATTAAGTTAGAGACTTAGCTACTTTAAATCATTTAAACATATGTAATATTGGAATAAGTCTTCAATGTTTTTTTAAAGGCTTTATTAATGTTTACATCATATTACATGTAGGTTCAGTACATAAAAAATTCCTAAGGGATATTATACATATGCATAGAATATTTTCAGCATTGTTAACATTTTCAAACTAGGAAGGAGTAACACTACAACATTGTTATTAAGTTGAATATTAGCTTTTAAAACGGCTAAACTGCACAGGCCAGTTAAAAATATTTATTTGATGGAAAGTTAATTATGTTCTGTCACGCAACACACCATTTTTTCATCCCTGACATTTACATATGAGTAAAGGTTTTACAGGTGTCCCAGATAGTTGATGTTTTTCTTTCATGAAAGTGTCAGTTTCTCTTAAATAAACAAAATGCACATGTAGGTAATTGTTGACATGAAAAACAAGAATGGTTGTACTTAACCACCTGCTTAAAGAGACACTGATAACCTTGTAAATATTACAACGATAACCTTTTATAGTTAATTATAATTAATTGTAGGAGGATGTAGATATAGTAAGATACATGTACAAATAATTTAAATGGTGTCCTATGTCATTTAGCAAGGAAATGATCTATAAAAAAAATCATGCAACTATTCTTTAAGATAAGGAAAACATCCAATGAATACGGTAGATCTATTGTCTATTTTGTAATGTTGTATTTGTATAAAATTGGAGATTTTCCTCTTAATTCCTACTTTATTATTTTATGTCATTTTAGTAATGGCATAGATCTGTTGTGTCTGTTCCTACATGTATTTGTTTTTTGATAAGATTAATATCAAATAAATGGCGGTTTTCAGCTTAAAGGGCCGATCTCGATTATATTTTGGAGAATAAAATTGCTTAATTTTGTGATAAAAGCCCTTAAAATCCTCAAACATACATTTTCGAAGAACTTAAACCCGTCAGTCTTCATCTGGAAATGGAGACCGGTGTCACAAGCTGTTTTACATGTATGCGATGTCTGGATAAAACCAGACCTTTAATTTATAAAAATAACGTGTAGGTGAAATTTACCTTTCGTTATCAAGTACAGCACGTGGGTCATGCACTGTATAGACCTCTAATTAAATGGCAATAGATTATCAGGACACAAAATCTTAAAAGGATTATGTGTCCGGATAAGCGATTTTGACGTTCACGATCAAACAATTCAATATTTGGATCTGAAATTTTGAGACAAGGTAAATACACCATTCCTCTATATTTTGGGGTTTACATGTAAATTACATACGTACACAGACTTTTATTTCTGAGACTGTTAAAATCGGGATGGTTCCTTTAAATCCCATTTTATTATTTTCAGCCATGTTGGTCACAAATCTATTGTGTCTGTTTCATACATGTATTTGGGGTTTTTTTTGGTAAAATTAGTATCAGATAATTGGAGATTTTCTGCTTAACTCCCATTTTATTATTTTCAGCCATGTTGGTCATGCCACAGATCATGTTTTTTTTACCGTTATGGAAAAAGATGATGTCCTTGGACAAGTTGTTATTCCGGCCTTATCTTTACAAAGCATAAAGGGACAAGTTAAAAAGATCGGCCTTAAACCACATAAAAAATGTATGAACCCGAAAGGTGATTTAATATATCAGTGTTATGTATCTAAATATAGGCCAGCAACATCAACACCCATCATTAAAAGTAGTACACCCATGAGATCGGGAGGAGGCGGAGCCCATCTGACAGGTTTCGCGCGCTTAAAGAGTAACCTGACACCATCACCTATTAGCAACGGAAAAGACTCAAATAAACGTGAAAATCGCAGCTCACTGGCAACATTTAATAAAAAGCTCTCCCGTTCAATTCACAATATATTTAATTTTTCTAAATCGAGTGATGAAAAAAATGACGACGATGAAGATAACGATCATTCGAGTAATAAACCGTTTTCAAAATTCGCAGCAAAATTTCGCAGCACTAATAATCTGGATGACATGGCTCAAACTCCAGTTATCACAAACGTCATTCCGAATATTGGCACGGTGAAGGGGGGTACGAGAATTATAATAGAAGGACGTAATTTAGGATTAGGTAAATCAGATATCGTTGAGTTAATGTTATGTGGTAGTGATATATTAGACACAGTGGAGTATGAATCTTCTAACTGTATTGTGTGTACGACGAAGGAATGGGAGGCAGGAAAAGGTGATATATGGTACGAAACTGTGTCTGGTGGCCAAACGGTGGTCAAAAACTTTTTCACTTTTGTTGATTCTTCATCTAAAAATAGTGCACCTACACCAGTTATAATGAAAATATCAGATTCCTCATCGGAAAACAATGACGACGCTAGTACTGGAATTGACAGTCGGAACACTTCAGTTGCTGGAGATGATGAAATGCTTTCAGCCGTTACACCTGAGAAAAATAATATCAATTCTGTTCCACCTAGTCCATGTCCACCAAGAACACCTTCAAACCAACATAAACTGGAGGTAAATATTAATGACTCATCATTGAGTTGATTTTATCACCTGAAACCTTTAGCACTTCAAATATTTTCTACACAAATGCACCTTAATGTACAGATATTATTTTTCCTAAGGCACAATCTATTTCTTTGTAAATTAGCATGTTTAGTTTATATAATGTTTGTCAACCATATCCTTCTTTAGATTTTATTTTATAGATGTGTTATAATTCATCAAAGTAAAATTCAGTCTGTTTTCATTAAGTGTGATCCGTGGAAATAAGGATTTTAATTATACATGTAGCTGATAATTAAAGCACCACAGAACTTGTATCTGACATTTTAAATTTTGTACATGTACATGACATGTAATAAGATGTATTATGTAAGTTTTAGATGAAGAGCTGTCTGTTCTTGATACATGTATAATAGTTATGACTATTTTGAATGTTTCTTTCAAATTGCTTTATTCTGAGCAAAGTTATGAGTTTTGGAAGATGTAGCGTAGATTTTTTATTATCGTAGCAACGATACTGGACAAATGAGACTTTTTTTTTTTTCAATCCTCTGGGCATTCTAATCCATTTAAATCTCCACCATATGATGAGCTGATTATAGGCTTGTCATGTTAATAAATGTCTAAATAGTAATTTATATAATATTTGAAGCCAACACAAAGATCTTTAAAGGCTCAATACCACTCTTGTTGTAACTGAATAATATGTCCCAATCTTTATTCTGGTCAACAAATTGTACTATTTTACAATATTCCAATTAATTGGTGATACAAATTTCATCTTAACACACCTAATTTAATAAATTGGAAAAATTCAACTAAATGATTTGAAAAGCCTAACGTAAACCTTTTCAAATGTGACTTGGATTTAAAAATATTTTCGAACCCTCTGGACAAGTAAAATAGGATGTAATGGATAATTTACACAACAGGTAGGACACTTAAACATCTAGTACTTAGAATAAGGCTATTATTTATTTTCTGGAGCTGTCAAGCCAGCAAGAGTGTTATTGTCCCTTTAATAGGCAGATTTAGCTCTTACATAATTCATCTTTAACAAAATAAATCTAAAACAAAAAAATGTATTCTGTGTCAAACGGAATTGTTCCTGGCAATTCCTTTGACAGGTGCCTTATTTCCAGGCTTGATTACATATATTAAGTAGATTATGTTTAATTTCAAAAGATTCTTTGAGTTTTGCTTAAATGAAGAAATTATGCAGAGATATGTATATACTTGTACAGTAAAAATGGTGAGTCATACCAAGTGAAGTGACACCCATTGATAAGAACATCATTAATTAGTATGATATATTATCCCAATGACAGACTGAATTTTTTTTAATGAGTTATTTTATGTTATTGTGAACATGTTGAATTTCTGTAGAATTATTTAAATTTAGCAGATAAGTGAAACGAGTGAAGTATCCCGGTGGTCTTTAGTGAAAAAACGCATGGTATATACAATATCTGATTTATTAATTATTTTACAGCACATACTCCTCTTTCTCCCTTCTTCTTTTAAGATTTAGTTGCTTTTCCTATATATCCCTTGCAGAGTTCTTATTTAACAAATTTCGCAATAAAGACAGTTAGATTTCACATTTAAATTTGAAGATCAGTTTGATTAAATTGAAAGTTATTTTACGATTATTTCTTTTTTTGAAAACATAATTTAAAGTAGATGATCGTTATAAGGGAGAGTTTTTATCCCTTGCAAACTACAATATTGTCAAAGATAAAACTCGAAATGGATTTTTTGATCCAAAAAGGTTCAGTTTCATTCAATATTTACATAGATATTATGAAGAGTTAGGTATTTCACGATATTCAGATTCCTCTACAGTCAGTATAAACAAACCAGAAACACCTATAGGTGTTGTACTGTACAACATGTGTAAAACCTTTTCATAGATCTCGGTTAATCCAATTAATTCCAAGCTGTAAGATTATCTACTGTTGATATTGTGGTTTTATTTTCTTAATTAGATGTTAAATAATTGAGTAAATTTTACCTAAATATGACGATCAGTGGCTTTATCGTAAAAGACCAATAAATTAAAGTTGAATATTTAAATTTTGGGAATGCAAAGGGACTGGCTGTTCAATTTCTCAACCAGACATTTTTATGTGTTATCTAGTCATTGACTTGCAGAATTTGCTTAAATAAGAACTTTGTTATCTTGCTAGTTGACGTAGTGCTAGAAAAGTACATGTGTTAGATGTATGTTTATGTAATGTGGTATATTTGTCTGTAATGTTAAATGTGTAATTGTTGTGTACATATTCTGCTATGAATATGACAGTATGTGTATTATTTAAACAACGTGTGGGTTGGTCCTTGAAGATGAAACATTTCTATTATATTTGTCATGTCTAACATTTTTTTATCCTAATTACCCTAATTAATGGTGTTAATGACCACTGACCTCTTGGTCTAGATAACATTATTCATATTTTACATTTTTTCTACATTAGTGATAAAACATAACATTTTGTGGTAGTAATAATTTTCTATTTTAATGGGTTTTGAAACAGGATTAGTGAAGTTATTTGAAATTAACCTTTGACATGAGTTCCTGTCGACTAATTTAAAGGGGTATTGTTATATAAAGTTATAAAAATGTACACAAAGTTTAATATAATAAAGTCATCCATCTATAGATACTGTAGGGGGAGGATACTGAAGGGGGAGGGCCCCCTCGTTACCCTGTGAAATGGGGTTTAGCGTCCACTCGACACAAACTACGTCATTTCGAGACTAACACATGGTTCAATTTTATTTCAATAATTCGCTTGCACGTAGGGGTCTTTAACAGTGGAGGAAACCGGAGGACCCGGAGAAAACTCACGAGGTTGGGCAGGCGACCCTACTCCTTGTCACGTACAACCGGGGAATCGAAAACCACGCCAGTTGACTCAATGACAAACCATATGATACAGCACGCACGTGCTAACAATTCGGCCATCCACCCCGCCCTCCCCCCATTACCCTGTGGGAAAGAGAATAACACGTACCGAACCCATGGCTATCAATATTCCAGGTATATTAGTCTCATGGTCCTGAAAACAGGTGCATGAAAGGTGAAGAGGTGATGCGAAGATTTAAATTTTATCCATTTTTTTCTCCCTAGACCTAAACAATCACCGCCATGTTTATTTTACTAATTGGTTTAAAGTGAAATTTGTTTGCATGTGATTAAAATCAACCTAGCTAACTTTTAACTTGTCAAACAAAATTTATCGTGGAACATAATTACTGCACATTATATAAAACATGGTAAAACTACCAAGTTGGGAATTAATAATTTGAACAGAGACATGTTATCGTATAAGCTTTTTATTTATTTATGTAAGGCATTGTCATGCTTATATGATGAAAGCTTTTACAAATGTGATGTTATCATATTTGAAAGTGGGATGCTTTATGCAAGTACAGTATATACACTGTATCTTGGGTATTTATTTATCGCATATCAGCAATGTAAAATGTTTTAGTTGAAAATGTATTAAACGAAGACGTAGTTACAACAAGTGTTTGAATAGGGTAGATTAGGTTAAATATATATATACCAACGTGGATAAAATGAAACCAGCACTGCCTAATATTTGTGGAAACTTAGTTTATCCATCAATTAAATCTTGAAAGAGAACATGTATTATATGACACTTACAGAAACAAATTATATATTATAAAGTTAATTTCAGAGAAGTTTATTTCAAGGTGGGGAATATGTACAAATCATTTTTATTTCATTTTTGTATACTCACATATAATTTTGGTTGTATATTGTTTGGAAGTTGTATCTTGATCCTCAAAACCGTATCATTGAAATGCTGAAGCTGCAGGTCAGCCTATATTGAATTGCCTGGCAAGCCATCTTTCTCATTTTCAGTTTATCTATGTTATGTTTTGTTGTTTAATACATGTAATACCACAATAAAATATGTTTTATAACAATATAATTTGTAATATTTTTAGTTACCCGATTCGATGAAAACTAAATCATTAGGTCGAGTACAGAGTAATGAAGGTATAGAAGGACGATATAAGAAGAATTTTATGAAACATGTAAGACGAGCTAGTGAATCTATAGTAGCTGAACAAGAAGGTTTATCACGAGAAGATGTTGATAGACATAGTAAGTAATACATTAATAACAACTTCTAACTTCCTTGTTTCTTGAAAATACATCAATTCAAGTTAGGTCTTTATTTTATTCCAGTTGTAATTTGCTTTGTGCATGGTTAATGTTAAAGATGCATTATGTAAGATTTAGATAAAGAGCTGGCCATTCTTGCTATAATAGTTAGAGATTAGATAATGAAAAAAGAATAATTTGAAAAATGACTTTATTCTGAGCGAAGTTATCAATGTTTGAAGTTTAGACAAGAAATAACCATAACTCCGCCCCACAGTTCATATTTTAGATTATCAAGTTATTCAAGTACCATTGCCATAATTAAATCTCAATTGTTAGTTCTTTTGATTTTATCAGTAGCCTCTGGACATATTCACATTTCCACTCAATATGTAAGCCATTCGATGATGGTCTATAGAGTTAATTATTGGCTTGTCTGTGTTTCATCTCACTGGTATTTAGGCCACACTAGTTTGAAAATTGGTTCTTTAGCAAAATGTTGGTTTCCGTTTCTTGGGTTATAGATATTCTCAACAGATTATAATTTTTAACTAAACATCATTCAGGAGATTATTTAATTATCAAGACCCGAAGGAACTAAATATTACATTGCTTTAGTCTTATTTCTCCATGGGACCTAATAATGCATACATGTAGTTGTATACCGGGATCACCTGGCTAAGTGGGTAAAACGCTTGCTTGCTAGCCTGGAGGTCGGGTGTTCGATCCCTGCATTGGCCGAAAAAGTTCATCCAGATTTTCCGGCGTGGTTCCCCCTTGTGATGCAGGACGGGGGGCCTGACAAGGACAGGTGTCTAGTCCTTCGGATGACACGAAAAACTGAGGTCCCGTGTATACATTGGAATGCACGTAAAAGATCCCTTGGCAGTTGGAATTCGATATAAGAGTAGTCGATAGTGCCGCTGCCCGGGCAAAATTTCCCTCATAGCACACTGTATGGCGTATGCCCGTCTTCATTAGCCCAGCATAGGAGCAGAACAGTAGGGCGTTAAACCCCATTTCATTTCATTTCATTTCCATAATACTTCTTTGACTAACATCCACAATTTTCAACACATATTTTGTCTCACAGCCCACTACATTTATTTGTACCCAGTTTATACATTCAAATAGGTAAATAAAACATCTTGTATTCAGAAATAACATTACTTGTACACTAATTCTAGTTAATCATATGATACTCAAAAAAAGCTGATATTGAAATAGAAAGTCCATAATAGAATAAGTCTTAATCTTTAAATGGCATTTAGTAAATGGATAGAGAAAAAGCAAGAACATACATGTATGATACTTATGGAAAATAGCTACTAGTGTATTTTAAGGCGATGTTTCGAAGAGTATTCTTTCAACGTTATCATTATCAAGCTAATACTGTTGAGAGAATACTGTTGAGAGAATACTGTTGAGAGAATACTCTTCGAAACATCGCCTTAAAACATGCTAGTAGCTGTTTTCCATAAGTTTGTGTTTTGTTTTGTTTTGTTTTTTTAAAAATAAGTCTTGTCATATGATTTGATAAATTGAATATTACGGTAATTGTTGTTTTTTTTTTTCAGGTATAACAAAGAAAGAACTACAAGCTGAAGTTATACGTTTGTATAATGAAAATCAATGTACGTTAAATTACATCTTTTTGTTTTATTTGAAAGTTAAATGTTATTTTTAATAAAGGTGATCTTGTAAAGTGTTTTGTACAGTTATGTTATAGGAATATGATTGATAATTAAAGATACAGTAATATATTTCACAGGGTACCTATTGATAAAAGTCTACAAATTAAATGCTAAACATTAAAGAAATAGTTAGTCTGAAAGTTTCAGCAAAAATAAAATAGATTTGTTTGACAAGGTTAAGTTAATTCACATTTGGAAATCTCTCTTGAATTGTATGAGCGACTTGGCAATAGCGACTATCTTTTACAAGTATAACAAATGCAAGTATGTAGCCATGGTTATCTTGGCCTTGGGAATAGCATGGAATTTTAAGACGTATCACCCAAAAGCATATGGAAAATGTACCACAGACTAGGAAGGTTCCAAATAGTCTTCCACATAGAATTAATCCATTTGATTAACCCAGATATATCTTGGACTGCTTCTTTATGTGAAATGAAGGTAGCTGTTTCCTGTTCATTGTCATCAAACTTTTAATTTAATGATTTTTATATTTTCAGCATTAAAGAATGAGAATGCTGATATGAAAGGCTACATTGATCGACTTATAGCCAAGGTTATCCAGCATTGTCCTGATGCCTTAGAAACGGTGTAAATATTTCCAGTGTATTGATTTATAGGTAGTTAGTTTGTCTATAAATGTTATTTGTTATTTATGATACAAGTCAAACACATGGTTTATTTGATTATGTATCTGTTATAAATTATCATGTCAAATATTTAAATTTATGAAGTTAGGCAATTTGAGAAAATATGACTATGACATCACACCACGTAACATCTGAGTATCTGGATGAGATATTGTGACACATCTGTCACTGATTGTATTATTTGCATGAAAATTCTATTTGTACCTTTTGTACCTTTTACTTAGAAACTTGGATGTTTTGTAAAATAATGTAGTCTTTGTACATTTACTTAATTAATATTACATTTGTGTTGTTTGTGATAGAAATAAGCCATATCAATTACTAAATAGAAACTAGTCCATAACTAACTTCTTACTAAACCTTCTTCTAATATTCTTCATTTTGATAAGTAAAAAACTAGCTTATATTATTAAAGTAAGAAAAACTAGCTTATTTTTATTATAGTAAGAAAACCAGCGTATTTAAGTAAGAAAAACTACATGTAGCTTATTTAAGTAAGAAAAACTAACTTATTTAAGTAAGAAAAATTACAAGTTTATGTAGCTTATTTAAGTAAGAAAAAGTAGCTTATCTATGTAAGAAAAACTAGCCTATTTATGTAAGAAAGACAACTAGCTTATTTAATTAAAAAACTACCTTTTTTTAAAAAAGATGAATCTCTTGTGGATGATTTCACTTTTTCCATTGAATCTGACAGGATTGCCGAAAGGTAGCAATTTCTAAACTTTAATGAATGTTCATCTTCACATTGTCATGGTATGGCATACCCTAGACTGCCATAGAGCTGTTGGCAACAATGTTGGTCTGAGAGTTTCATACTGCAGGTTATATTCATCACTGGCTGTGCACGTTCAAAGTCACAGTTTGTTATTAGACTGTAATATTATGTTCCACACTAGACAGTTGTAGGTAGCTGGTATATGAACTGTAAAATTATAATTAGTCTTACATAGTACATTGCCAGATATCATATAAATAAGTGTATTGGTCACATGTGATCTAGGGGGTTGAGATGGCCTAGTGGTGTAGAGTGTCAGGCTCTAGCAGGTCTGGTCATCTCTCGCTTGCGGTCGTGATTTCGATCCCAGGTCTGAGTATATGTGACTTAGAGAAAGGGGCACCTTCTCAACCTCGTGGGTTTACTCCGGTTTCCTCCCACAGGAAAGACCCCTACGTGTGCGCTAAGATAATGAAACTAATACAACTTGTCTGAAATATCACCCTTGGTGGAAGCAGATGTTAAACGCTAATAAAAGAAGAACATTATTGGAACCCCTAGAGCAACCATTTTTCATACTATTTCTAATACAGCTGAAAGACATTTATTTTATTATTTTAAAATATTGTATAGTCATAAACCATATTATTCTGTGGGGATATTCTTAGGTTGTTACTTTATTATTTTAGATCATTTTCAATGACTTTTTGTTTTTCTTTTTTTAATTCACACCAATTCGAAGTGTTGTTAACTTAATTCCATACCCAGCTCAAATCAAAAGCTTTCTATCAAAATATAATATCTACCATTTGTAAAAGTTAGGTTGTTAGCATTTAAATACGATGAATCAGATCTGAAGTACATGAACGTGTATTATATTGATATTAATAATAATACAACCTGTTTTTTTACTGGTTGTTATATGATTGTAGATTTCATATGTTTGATATTCTATTCAACATAATTTAATCGTTTGAAGATCTCAAACTAGAAATTGTCCGTTTTTAAGATGTCTATCACAAGTATGTATTATTTTGAAACGATTTTCCCTCCATTTTATAATGTTTTTTTCAGAATCACTTTGAGTGATATTTTTCATTTTTGAAAATCACATTTTTCATTTAAATTTGTACTTTGTAATTATATATATACTTCTAGCAGTTGTCATTATGTTGTAGTGTTTCTACCAGTATATTAAATAATTGTTAATAAGCCATAAACAGCAAGTTTATTATACAGTTCTTGAAATTGTTTTCAGATTATTCAAATTATACAAGAAAAAGTCAGTATTTAACCAGTGTATAAACTAGTGAATTTTATACTCATTGATTATAATGTATGCAGTATAATAAATGTGATAGTTCACACTGTCTTCCACATTTATATAAATACAACGCTGATTAGTCATGACAACCTCATCATGTCATGATAATCATAGTAGTCACAGCACCAAATAGTCATGGTAACAAGAAATCTTTGAAGATGCATTATGCAAGAGATAAATTTGCTTATTGCAGGGCGTTTTTGTAGCTTCTAATGTTATATAATTTAAATTTATTCAAACGACGAGCCCATAATCAACTGTCTAGGCCATCAGATGACTGAGATATTGAGTAGATTAGACAATGTCTGTCATTTTATCATCGCCATTGCACATTAAAATGGCTGAAAATCGCGACTTTGTTTATTATTATGGCAACGTAACCTGACAATTGAGGCTACATTTAAGACCTCAAACAATTATAACTTGGCCAAGAATAAAGTTATTCGACTGAAATTTTCAATACATTCATTATTCATTATCTATTTCAAAACTGCAGCTCTTTATCTAAATCATACATAATGCATCTTTAATATTAGCCACCACCAAACCTGAATTAATGTATTATACTTATGAAAACATAGAAATGTTTTTAGAAATGATGTTCTTTGAACTTGAGGTTTGTTATATCTTTAAATGATTATTTATAACTAAATTGTTACCTTTTTAAACACGTACTATTATTATGAAATTTTTGTATATAAATTGTATCTTGCTAGCTATTGTGTTGTTGGTTTGTTTTGTGTACTGATATTAGTATTTAATTATTTTATATTTAATGTATTATTGCTGTATGTCTACTTACATGTAATACTAACCTAGATCGTGTATATCTACTTCTAAATATTTTATCAAAAAAATATTCAACTATTTCTATTCATTGTACTTTTGCTGATTTTCAGTTAACATTTAGTTATTCTTGTCAATAGAAAATAATGTATGGTTAAGACTTATTAATATCATTTTAATATTTTGTTTTACTACTGGTATATTTTTCAGTTAAAACTTAGAACTTTCCATCTAGAGCATATCAATTTAAATGTTAATTAACTTTTGTACTACCATATGGGACCGAATTATATGCTATTGAGTTGACACCGGTTGTAATTTCACATGTGTTCTCTGGTCTTTATCATCCTTGATACTGTCTGTTACATCAGAAACAGCCAAATCAACTGATACGTAGCTCTACAGACTAAATGTTGGCTTATTCGCATAAAGATTTTGATATCTGGACGTTTTCTTTTAGTTAAAGATGATAAATGTATATTAATTTTTAAAAAAGAAAATAGATTTTCAGTAGTTTTTTTGTAATTGTGTGTATTTCTATACAATCAGCATATGTAAGTACTATGAAATATTTTTTTATATTAAATGTTTATATCATTTTATTGTTCAACATATGTAATAATGTATATTTTATTTATTTTTGTAAATGTACATGGTATGTTGTCTAAAACTGATTTTTAAAGATTCATAGTAAAAGCTGCTGATGGTCATTTAAAGGATTTTAAACACCTTGCTCAGTTATTATCAGTCCAAAAAGCTTTCAATTCCGTTCAATAGTGACCATTCAAAGATATGAAGTACTGAACATTTCACAATATTCATCATCCTCTGCAAAAGACATTTACAAGCTAGTGTTACGTATAGATGCTGGGTCAAATCTTTTGATGGGCCTCTTTCTGATCCGATAGGAGTTTATCTGCCATTGAAATTTTGGTTTGATTTTCCCTATTAAATGTCAAAGATAGATTATGTATGATTTTGTTAAAGAACTGGCCGTTCATGCTATAATAGTTGAAAAATAGATAATGTAAAATGAATATATTGAAAATTTCATTCCAATTACTTTATTCTGAGCGAAGAAATCACTGTTTGTAGTTTTGACAAGATCTATGCATTGATTGTTTATTATCCTAAGCACGGCACTGATTATTCAAGTCTTAGCCTCACTTCTCCATTTTAAAATTGAATTATTAAATGACCGAACCGTTCTAATCTACTTAAAATCAGAGCCATTCAATGGCATCGAGAGTTGATTATGGTCTTGTCATTTTAATAAACGTCTAATTAATAACATTTAAGGCGTAAAGAAAGACTGCAATAGGAAGATTTAGCTCTTACATAATGTATGTTTAAGTAATCAATTTCAGTAAATTATAGCAATGATTAAGCATGAAAAGTTTGATATTATCTGAAATATGTTAATGACACTCAGCAGCTTTAAGAAATAATCTAATTTAAACCAGTATTATCAATGTTTGGGTTTATTATGATAAAGTAAAATGAAGTTATTATTTTAGATTAGTCAAATCAAACACTTACTTGAGATACTCTAATCATAGGCCTATACATTAGATGACAAAATTTAAAAATACTTTAAATACAGAAGAAAGATATTGAATAATAATTATAAATTTTTGATGATGAAATAATTTATACACTGGGCTATTTTTATATGTACATATTTGAAGTTATAGATTTGTTATCCCCCAGAATTGGTGATATACTCATGTTAAATTTTTGTAGCCAAATACTACATTGACCTGTCAGTTATATAAATATTAATATCAAAAATAGATAAATTCAACATTCCAAAATATATATGAGCTGCCCTAATATAATATGATATAAAATTCTATACTGGATGATGATAAAAAAAAATACTGGATAATAGAGTAAATGTGTCTGTATCAAAGAAGAATGTACAGATCAATATTGACAAAGTAAACATTAGCACTGTATAGGTGACCAGCAATAAATTTAGTACATTGTGCCCTTAAGCCGATTTATCCTTGCTATCCCACATAAAAACGTGCCAAAAACAATATCATTTAACCTTGGTAATCTGCGTAAAATCCCAGCGACTTTAAATCTGGTATATTTGTCATTGGTTTAAGTTGATGACCAAAATTAAATCAAGGTTTCATTCTGTGGAAATTTGTAAGAATTTAGGTTATATACGAGATTTGTTTATGTCGAGTTTTACCTCAGGTTGTATTAAAACATCACTAGTTATAGATGACCTTCACAGATGTGTTGACAAGTATTTCACACCGTTGTGATGATACACACTTAAAGGCTTAAAGCTGCTTATTCTTAAAATGCTAAATGTTTGATCCATGGTACAAATTTATGGCATTTGTGTCGGCAAACTGAAAGTTTATATTACTTGTGTCGGCAAATTGAACGTTTATATTACTTGTGTCAGGAAATTGAAAGTTTATATTACTTGTGTCGGCAAATTGAATGTTTATATTACTTGGGTCAGCAAATTGAAAGTTTATATTATTTGTCCTTTATATAAATTACATGGTTGTCAATAAAGTTGTGAATGCATTTTTGTTCATATTTCGATGTGCACATTAATCATTATTATATTATTCATTTGACTATATATTACTAAGTATATGAATTGTTATATTAAAAGGGTCACATAAAATAGGAGGAATTACAATCTGTTATGTATAATCACATATTATTTATTTGCGATTATATTTGATGTAGAAAAATATGACAATAAAAATATTGTGGCAAAAATTTGTGTTTTTTTATATTTTTGTCATGTTGTTTTGAGTACATGCAGGTATCGGATGCCGGACAAACATTACTTGATGTACATGAAGACATGCCTAGAAATTATTATTATTACCAGGGATAAGAGTAGTCTAAGATTTCACAGGGTACCTGTGGCTAAAAGTGGGTAGTTTCACTATGCAAGTCAAAAATGTGAAGATATAGCCTTATTAGAGAGGTTTTTGCTAAATATATTGTACCATTCAGAAATATTATATTTGCACAAATGAGTTATGTTACTCAGTAAAAGACAATATACTTATTATACCACTAGTGAAAGTTGAATCTTTAATAAGAATATCAGTCCAAAAATGTTTCAATTCTGTTCAGTATTTACAAAGATGTAACGAATTGAAAAATCCATCAATCTATGCTGCTCCCTAGTTGTAACAAGAAGGCCGCCATCTTTATTTTCTGTGAACCACATTGATGGGCCTGTTTTTAAATCTGATTTAATCCAAGTTTTGGCATTTTGATTTTGTTTTCTTAATTAAACATTAAATAATCAATCTTGATTAAGCCATGCATCATTACTTTAAGGAATATTGTTTTGATACATCGTATTTAAGGGGACTGTGTAAGATATTACAGGACAGCGTACATGTAAATAAAAGTGTGTTGAAGTATTTAAAATACCTATTTGCATTGTCTCACAATTTAAAAGGAAAATAATGAGCCATTGGGAATGGTTGCCTGATTTGGAGTTGCGTAACTCTAAGGAATTTCAGTGAATTGTATGAGTGACTTGATAATCACGATTAACTAGAACTTCATCTAGTTTTATTTGGGTCAAAAATGTGTTGATTTCAAGGGATTTTATATGTTAATTTGTTCTGTGCGATGACAACCTGTTTTTGTTGAAACTATTTCATCAATAGAACAAGCTAGTGTTGAGATATTACTATTCACCATATACATGATATAACCAATTTTGTAAAAAAAAATGAAATGGGGTTTATAATGTCCTACTTTTCTGGAGGGCTGGGTGGTCCAGTGGTTTAATGCATATGCAAGAAATCAAAAGGTCTGTCATTGAATCACGTGGAGTGGTTTCTATTCCCTGCTTGAACATGACAAGGAGTAGGGTCACCTGATCAACCTCGTAGGCTTTCTTTGGGTTCTCCAGTTTCCTCCCACGGCTAAAGACAATTATTGAAATAAAATTGAACCATATGTTAGTCCTGAAATGACCTAGTTTATGTTGTGTGGACATTAAATCCAATTTAGATCTCTGTCTCCTACTTTTCGGCACCAACTGGGCTATTTTAGAAGGACATACAACTTGGTATGGGGAAAATTTGGTCTGGACAGCAGTGTTTTCATGTATTTGTTTTACCTGCACTCAAACGGGTATACAGGACCTCAGTTTTTCGTACCTTCCTATCAACTAGATCCTTTTCCTTGCCAGGTTCAGTGTTCTGCATCATTGATAAGGAGAATCCACACAGGAAAAACCCTAGGGAAACTTACTTGGCCAATAAAAGGCATCTCTCGGCTAATAGTCAGCGCGCCACCAAGTTTGTATTTCACTGGTCGACACTATTTTATTTTGACTTCTAAATCAAATAAGTTTACGTGGGGGCTGAACATCTAAAAGACATACACTTTTGATCAAGTGACATGGTTTTATATTCCCAGTTTGTACTTGACAAGGAGTAGCGAGGATTGCCTGTTCAATCACATGGGGTTTCTGGTCTACCGGTTTCCTCCCACTGCTAAAGACCCCTATGCACAGACTAGTTATTGAAATAATACAGAACCATGTTTGTCCCGAAATGAACTAGTTTGTGTGGAGTGGACGTTAACCCAATTTCTCTCTCTTTCCAACAGGTTTAGCTCGGCAAACAAGAGTCATTTCCCCTGATACACATTGTTTATAAAAAGGGAGAATACTCTTTTTAATAACCATAACTAGTTGCTTTTATGTTATATAAATCTTAACAAAACAATTTATGTTTATATAAATTGATTTAGTGCATAATGATCGGGCAAATAAATCTCTCCATGCATGTTGGTAGGTCAAGACTGTTAGGGGTGCAAATATTCTGAACACAGAAGGTATGATATAATATAACAATAGTACTTGAAAATAATATATATGGTGCTTACAAAAACTGGGAGTTTGTCATTTCTTGTAGAGTGTCACTACCACGTTCACCTGTCAGATTCTTTACAAGCAATGCCACATGTGCACATGGGTGAATATTTGTTTTCTTCCCATACAAAAGACTAGAGACCCTACCTCGGACAACTAGGACGAATCCCTACAAGAGAATGAACGAATGAAATGGGCTACTTTTCTGCACCAAAATTAATGGCACACAGAAGAGAGGAAAATCCTTTTAAAAAACAATAAGATAACATATGTTTTGTGTCATTGAAATGTCAATTTTATTGAAATAGTTTGCCCGAGACAATGACTGCACATTTAATTAATAATAGCATCCATATCCACTTTCATTCCACCTACAACCAATCTCTCAACACAGCAAATTAAACACAAATATAACTGATAATAACAAAACATAACAGTACTACATACTAATAACATAACACATGCACTTAGATAAATAATACATAGAATCACAGACATTCAACATTATATCATTACAGTTTTAAGAATAGGGTAGGTATCAATAAAGCTTGGTTCTGTCAATATCCAACCTTAAAATACAGATGTGGTGTCATCCATTTATGTTTGACATAATCGTACCATTATTTTCAATAATGTACAGGCAATGTGCCCATGACAATTTCATTGAAATGCATGTCCAGAACAGTGCAGTTTGTCTGTATTTGATGTTGTTTAAATCTAGGACAAGATATTGCCTAATATATTCATACAACACTCGGGTATACGCCCTCATGCAGTATCAATATATTACTTAATGTCTTGCTATCAACCATTAAACCACTCTTAATTCAGGGTAAACAGGGTTTTTTCTAATGGAATAAAGAACAAATTAAAGTACATTTATTGTATCTAAAATACAGATGTGACATTATCCCGTGATGTACAGGCAATGTGACGAAATATTGAACTTGTGTGATTATTTCATAGAAATTCACATACGGTAATGGGTATCTGTATTTTAAGTTTTCTAAAGGCCTTGAGCAAAACATTGTGTAATATATTGATACAAGACTCAGGTTGACACCATCGTGCAACATAAATATATTATTTCATATCTCACACTAGACCTTTAAATCACTCTTACATATTAGGTGTCCGACACTTGCAAGTATGTTTTGTTTCTCAAAACAACCTTAAGTTTTGTCCAATTTACTATTAAATCCTTTTTTTCTCTTTTACAGATATAAAAAAAGGCCTGTATAATTACTTAACAGCACTGACTTTTCCAACCAATAAATTAATACAAATTAAATTTGTGTATTGGCTTTGCACAAAAAAAGTTTCTTTAAAAGTGTAATGTACATAAATGCATTTTCTTATTGTACCTTAATGCCGTGAAAAGTTAGTATTTAGTAAAAGATAAAATATTAGTCGAATAAACTAAATACTCAATACAGAGCATATAATCAGCAATTAACACTAAAATCATTATGCAAATATATCCTGAGAAGTAAGCCTCCAAATATTTTGACACATTTATGCTGATGACAATAAAGCTAAATATTTTGCTGCTCAGGAAACTGACAATTAAAGCTACGCCAAGCACTAAAGTATAGACCTCTTGTTATGATGGACTATAAAGAATGCCCAAATATCCATTCTGAGAACAAATATAGGTATGATTAGATTAGTTCCGATACTGTTTTTTTATATTGCACTTAATAATTTCATAAACATACATTTTATTATTTATTATTCAATTATTCAATTATATAGAACATGAATAACACATTTAATATTAATGTCTAAAATGCCGGCAAACAAATTGTAAGCACTATATGGCTACGTACAACATAAAATCAACAAAATAAATATACATCCATAATCATTCAATGTACATATAATACATAATATGCATAAAATATACAGAAATATACAAGGAGGTAAGGGTACATGTATAGTCATGATGTTACAATAAACATACCCAACATATTCTGAAAGATTTCCAAATCTTTCAAAATACAACAATAAAACAAATATTGAAGCCAATAAGTGATGATTACTAAGAATATTTTTCTTAGAGAATAAATACTATAATGCACCTTTTGACAATAAAACCAAATATCATTCAGAAATATTGAACTAACCACCAATTGAAATAAAAACTAGGAGAAATGGATCCGCTCTACTAATTTATTCTCCAAGAATATTTTATAGCTAGGGAAAATAGTGACAGAACACAATCATGGCTTTTATACAAATGTAAATTTTACATTATTATGGCAAATTAAGATGCAAATGATTTTGTACAAGTTTTATGACTTAATATTGACAAGTGAGAAAGCGGTAGAGGATTTGAAAATGATCGAGATTACTGAACCATTATGATCAAAGTGTAATATTTATCATCATCTATTGTGCCAATTTTCCTTCTACATTAAAAAAACCCCCAAAAAAACTGTCTGCTAATAAAGCTGTCGAACATGAAAAACTAATACTATTGGTCATTCATCATTCTAGAAAGCCACTGAATGCAAATATTTATTTTTTTTAGACAAAATCTAATTTTTCACAACTTAATCCATATTAAAATATACTAATTGATTATTTCACATTTAATTAAAAAAATTCAACATGATATTTTCTGTAGAGGATACCGAATCTGACAGAAGGTTTAATGCATTATATATCTTTATAAATATGGAATGGATTTGGGCCATTTTTTCATTCGTTCCTAAAGTTTTAAGTCCACTTCCACCATAGGTGATATCGTAGACAAGGACCATGTACTGATATACCTTATAGAGATTCTAATTTCACAATATTCCTCCAATGAAGATTTCATTTGTTACAACAATTACAACAATTTTACCATAAAAGTAAGCAAATAGTTTGTCTTGATCATTTCAAAATCGCTTATGCATAAAAACAAATATATATGATGTGAGACATTATTATAATGCACATTAAAAAATGGCATCTAAATGCATGAAGTACATAGTTACTTTGGAATAATTTCAAAATGTAAATTATGAAAAGTAATAATGTTATATAAATATTTACCTATTGTATGTAGGTAGTAAGTATGTGATACAAAATGATCTATGTTCAAACAATATACAAGGATTTCATTATAAATCGGGGAAGGCAGGGCTAAGAAAGAGGTCTGTTCTATTGCAGACCAACCCAGCTCTTCCAAATGTCTAATTAGGGATTTATGTTGCGTGGATAGTATTACTATCTAGTTAAAAAAATCTAAATGTATTTTATCAAAATTATCTACACGGAAGAGATTATTTACGAGACAATCATTATTTAGCAGACAACTCTACTTTAGACGTAGTCCCTGGTGTGCAACAGACTTCCTTTACAATATACATTATGCAAATAGCTACTTCAATTTACCGTTATTGGGTTTTACCACACAAAATTGAAATTAAATCATGAATATTAATATCGGTAATAACATTATCGTATCCTAATTAACAGGATAAATTTTATGAAATGATTTTCTTGGATTTCCTATGATCGACATATAACCTAATAAAATCTTAAATTGACGAACTAAGTTGTCTGAAGCTAATCAATAAATATTCCTATTATTACTTTAATTTTGTTTTATTAATAGCCTTTTATATTTATAATTCTGTTAGCTTACCAAAGTCTCAGACTTTTAATACCAGAATAAGAAATTGATGAACACAGCTTTCATATTATAAAATTTCTCTGGTTTATTTGATCCAATAAAGAGAAAAGAAATGTAGCATGTTAGAGCTGTCTATTCTGTGATCATATTTTATTATTAAAAGAACTGTATTTGCCTCCAGCTGTCTTGAAAAAACAACAAGATGATTGTGCTAAGAATGTTTTTTTTTATCTTTTAAAAATGTTATTGTAAAGGAACATGAAGTTTTGATGGAAAGTAAACATTCTATAGGATCTGACTTTCTTCATCACCATGTACAAAAATCAAATCAATAAAAATTCAATATTTGTTTTTACTCTCTTCAACTACAGTTTCAATCAAAAGTAAAAAAATAACTCTCTTCTGTATTATTATATATATTATAACACATAAAGCTAGTTTAATCATTTTCATTTTCAGAAACAACTGTTCTTCAAAGAATTTCATTGATTCTTTTCTTCTAAGCTGTTTTGATTTGTATCATCTTTTAAAGCTGTCTAATTTCAAAAGAATACTCTATTTCTTTCATATTTTCAGTTTTCAGAAAAAAAGAAAGATTACATGTTTTTCCAGTGATTCTTTTTCTACAAGATATTTTTATTCGTACCACCTTTAAAAACCATGCTTCATTTAAATACTTTTCTGCATTGATTGGACTGAGCTTTATTTAAAGTCTATTTTCAAGAAAATTCTTTATTCCTACAATATCTTTATAGTTTCGAGAAAAAAAAAAAGACTAAATGTTCTTCCAGTGATTGTTTTTCTCTAACCTATTTCAATTCGTATCATCTTTTAAAACTGTGGTTCTTTTAAAGTCAGAAAATACTCTATTCCTTTATTCAAACATTTTTAAAGGATCGAATAAAAAACTTTGAAGAATATATTTGACAGTTGTATACAATACATTAGTTTACTCTTTCCTATTCTCTTATTTATTTCTATATCTTTCTAATAACAATCTTATTTATTTCTATATCTTTCTAATAACAATCTTATTGTGTTTTAATATTAGGAAAGAAATTGACACCTTAATCTGATTCTAATGTCATCTTAATGCATTATACATTTAGATTATTGGTTATCAAAATCTTGTATCACAAATTCTTTATAAGCTTTTAAATATTATGCACTATAACAAACAGTCTCCATACTGGTAAAATGGCTCTGTAATCACAATAGAAACATTAAACTCTCATTAACATATTATCAACAAATATGTTTTCTTTCTATCTTTGTAAGAAGACAAAAAATATTTCACGATAATTAAACATTAATGTACAAACATTATCACTTTATTTTTCTTTGCCAGACTCGATAACTTTGACTGAGTTTCTTGATGATCTCAAACCCTGATAATAGAATATTATGATTGATATATACATGATGTCAGTCATTGAGTGAATACTGATCAATGTAGTAACATATCTACTATAAATAATGAGGAGTATCTTGACCTGTTAACAATCGAAATATAGACGTTGGCATGGTTTTCATGTGGATCTGTAAAAATAACAATAATGAAACAATTAATAAATTAAACAAATAATAAAGGAATTGGAGACATGTTTCTTTCCTGGCTTATTATTGGAAAAACTTGAATATTCTGCATGACATCCTTAGCAATTTAAAACATTCCGCACAACATCCTTAACAATTTAAGTACAGTATTATCAAGTACTAGAAGGCAGCATGAATCCTTCCACTTTCAACGGAATGTAATTTTCTAAAATTGTGATAAAATCTTTTTAAAGGGACAATAACACTCTTGCTGGCTTGACAGCTCCAGAAAATAAAAAAATAGCCTTATTTTAAGTACGAGATGTGTTAGTGTCCTACCTGTTGTGTAAATTATCCATTAAATCCTATTTTTAAATCCAAGTCACATTTGAAAAGCTTTACGTCAGGCTTTTCAAATCATTTAGTTGAATTTTTCCAATTTTTTAAATTAGGTGTGTTAAGATAAAATTTGTATCATCAATTAATTGGAATATTGTAAAATAGTACAATTGGTTGACTAGAATAAAGATTGGGACATATTATTCAGTTACAACAACAGTGGTATTGAGCCTTTAAGGAAATATAACCATAGTGTACATGCATTCTAATTAGAAGCAGTGAGTGTTATGTTGTAGTTTTTCTTATTCAAACAGTGATATGTGTCTGTTGCTATTTGAAGTTAAAGATGCATTATACAAAAACTAAGTCCGCCTATTGCAGGTCTTTTTTCTGGCTTCAAAAGTTATACAAACTATTATTAAAACATTTATTAACACGACAAGCCTATAATCAACTGTTTGGTACATCGGTTGGCTCTGATTTTAAGTAGATTAGAACACAGCATCTATTTAAGAGTTTAAAGATAAAATAGATATCGGTTATCAAGATTTGCTACCATAATAAACAATCTAGGCTACATTTTGTCAAAATTTCAAACACTCATAACTTTGCAGTGAAAAAAGTAATTTGACTGAAATTTTCAATATGTTCATTTTTCATTATCTATTTTTAAATTATTATAGCAAGAAGAACCAATTCTTTATCTAATTCTTACATAATGCATCTTTAAATCATCTGACATATATTTCCCAACCCTTACACTAGAATAAAGAAAACAACCACTGTACGCTCTATAATATAATCTTGTCTGATTAAGACAGATGAACTTGTCTACCAAGACAATACATTTAAAGTTTGTTTCTATAAAAATATAGCTCTTTGTCTACCTTCTTACCTATGAATGTCATTCAACCTAGGAGTCAAATATGAGTAGGAGTGAAAGAGAGAGAAATGAAGTTCAACGTCTACTCAAACCAAACTATGGTTTGGACCAATCTGATTAAAACACAGATCCAATTTCGTTTCGTTTTTATAGTTCAAATTTTTGTTTTTACTTGTCTTTACTACACTTGGATCTGGAAGCGTTGTTATTCAACTCGTGTTCTGCTTGAAATGAGGGGTCAGTCAGCCAATCAAATTGTCTGTCGAATCGAGCGTTTGACCTTTTTTTGCGTGGAACTGTGGGTAGACATTAGCGGCAATAGAAATCAAAACAAAGCAAAAGTAGATAAAAAAATACATGGCGGTCGCTAATTGGTTAATCGAATGAATGAGTAATCGGGTCAAATGTCGCTTGCTTGGTATCTGACGTCATAGAACGTGAACTTCCACTATAACTTGTTAGATCTACATGTAGTGTAGGCCATCGAAAGTATAAAAAACGAAACGAAATATAGATCTATATCTTAATTAGATTGGGGTTTGGACAGGCGACCCTACTTCTTGTCATGTACAAGCGGGGAATTGAAATCTTACCACAAGACTCAATGACAGTCCTTGTGTTCTAATGGCATAATTTAAAGCATTTGGCCACCCAATCCTCCTAGTTTGGGTAGGAACATGACCTAACTTAACACACTACAACCAAATTAATTCATATAATCAGCTAATAATCTTTACAACATTACTTACCTCACCAACTGAGTTGGCTAATAAAGAGACTATTTTTTCATGTGGTACAGCCACCACACTTTGGTTATTTATTTCTATAATACGATGTCCTACTCGAACACCTCCTCGTTCAGCTATACCACCACGTAATAAACTACATATCTGAAATATACAAAATTAACGTTATAATTACTTATCAAATATAAACATTCCAAGTTCATTTTCAGCACTTATCCCTCTCACAGGTAATGAAATGAAATGGGGTTGAATGTCCTACTGTTCTACTCCAACTGGGCTAATGAAGACGGGGTAAGGAAATGAAATGGAATGGGGTTTAATGAAGATGGGCATACAATACACAGTATGCTAAGAGGATAATCCGGTAGCTTTAACTTATATTAACAACACAATTTTTCATTTTCTTTAAGATGGAATTTACATCAATTTATTTTTTATAAAGTACGAAATCTAGAAAAGAATTGCGTTTTTCTAGGCAGCAAATGAAATCCAACTGTCTCAACCAAAGATTCCATTTCAGTCATATTTGCCAGTTTTGACTGACAGTGAATTTTAATTGAAAGCCTTTATCTTAAAGATATATTATTCAAGAGCTAATTTTGCCTAATGCGGTTCTTTCCTTAGGCCTTAAATGTTATATAAATTAGACATTTATTAACATGACAAGACCATAATCAACTCTCGATGTCATGGGAGGCTTGAGATTTTAAGTAGATTAGATCGGTTCGGCCATTTAATGATCTAATTTAAAAATGAGAAAGCAAGGCTACGTCTTGAATATACAAGTACCGTGGTTATGATAATAAACAATCAATGCACATATCTTGTCAAAACTACAAACAGTAATAACTTGGCTTAGGATAAAGTAATTTGAATGAAATTTTCAAGACAATCATTTTGCAGTATCTATTTTCAAACTATTATAGCAAGAACGGTCAGCTCTTTATCTAAATCTTACATAATGTATCTTTAACATTTGTCCATATCATCACATCCTCATTTATCAAAGGGGAAAAAAGACTTGACAATCTCCAAACCATTTTATCCAAGCTATTAATGTCTAAATTATGGTCATGAGTCAACATTACTAAACTATTCTTGTTTAATAAATATTATGATGCATAAACATGACAGAATACAAGTAATGTCAATCTGATACACCCAAAATAACTACTTAGCACTTAGCAATAAATGTGTCCAAATTTGATACAGAAAAAGAACTACACATATTTAGCATTAAACACATACAAATTTGTTAAACTTCCCCATTTGCAAAGATTTATTTGATATTCTCAATTGTGAAGCTATATTATAATGTTGTCATATTGATCATATGAAATTTTTTTAAGCTTCTGTGAAAGAAATTCAGGTCCAATACATTCACATCATGGTTAATTCAAGAAAACAATGTATAAATACGATAACTGACAGAAAAAAATCACCATTCTACAATTCTATCAATAGAAATTCTATCTAATTAATTCAATAAACCCTATTCATACACATCACAGAATAATACTTCTTGGTTCATTCAACAATACAATGTATAAATACGGTACTTGACAGAAAAAAATCATGATTCTGCAATTCTATCTAATTAATTCAATAAACTCTATTCATTCAAAGAATTAAGCCAAAAGCAAAAAAAAAAAATCCTTTTTAAAAACCGTTAATTAGTTTACATCTTGAATGAGAAAAATCTATAAAACATTGAATGAAATCAATCGATTTGTAACTAGACTTAACATGGGAATGTTAAAAAAGTTGATGAATATCAAAATATTGATTACTGTCACTGTTTAGAATAATTAATTCTAAAATCATTTGAATAGATGGATGCACATAGGGTTTGTGTATGAAACATCAGCGTTCAGCTTGTCAATCATTATGGAAAACTCTGCTGAAGATCGTTTTTCGGTTTCTTACGTCTGTCTTTCAAAATAAAAAAAACCCCAAAAGATAGAACTGAAAATATAAGTACATTATTGTGAGAAAACCAGTATTATATATCAACTGGAAACTAGTCTAATATGTAATAAATGGGCACTTGGAAAATTTGGATTTTTAAAGTCTTGTAAACATTGACATAATTGATTTGTACTTCAAAAAATATGTTGACAGTAAGAGCGTTGACAATAAGAAAAACAAGATGAATAGCAGTTAGAGCCCAGTTGTGGGTCCAAAAAATGAAACTTGGTTAGAAACTATTTTGAGCACAATGTTCATAATAATGACTTTTACATTAGTTGTCTCCTAAGACAATAAAGATGGCAGACCAAAATCAATAGGAACTAATGTCAGCTTTAGCTGGCCATACATGTAACTTACAATAGAATCAATCAATTTAAATCATTTTTGGGATTGAACCAATATAATGCCTTTTATTGTTTCTAGACTGTAAGTCTATATTTTCCTTTCAGTCTGGAATATTGTGTCTTTAAAGGAGATGGTCCATCTGTTTCTAAATTCTAACAAAAGACAGATAAAGCTCCTGATTAGGTACTACTCTTAATTAAAATCTCTCAAAAATGAATTTCCAAGATTAACAAGCAGGGGCCATAATCCTTGCAACCTGATTAAAACACGGATCCTTTTTTGTTTAGTTTTTTATAGTTCATAATTCAAACACTAGGATCGGGAAAAATTGTTATATAACCCACATTCTGGTTGATGCAAGGGATTAGCCAATGAAACAGTCTGTTCCTGGCGTGCGGTGCCTGGAATTGTGGGTATCCCACTTGAAACATCAACGCTGATTTGTTAATCAAATGTCTGACGTCAGAGGGTCAAAAGCCGCTTATATGACCCCAGACGCGACCTTCCACTACAACCAGCCAGATCTTCATGTAGTGGAGGCCATGGAAAGTAAAACAAGCCAACAGTGAGGCTGATGTCCCCCACCGAAATCCCCAAATAAATAGATGACACATATTAATTAATCGCACATCTATTTTTTTTCAAAAGTATCGAGCAATCAAACTGATTATCAACTATACACTAAGTTTCATGACTCTCTATCAGATAGAATCAAAGTTATCTTGTCCCAAAGCATCGACCAAGGAAATGGCTTATCTCTGCTTAGCTTTAAAGCTTGATATGTTAATCATTGAACTCAGTTGTTATGTTCCAAAGTCTTGACTTAAAAATGCTTATTGCTCCTTAGCCTAAGCATACAATTCTCATCATCGAACTTAGTCAAGGTATTGATGTAATGAAACTATACACCAAGTTTCATCACTCTCACTTAATTAGAACTAAAGTTATCGTGTCCCAAAGCATCAACAAATCAAATTGATCTGTATTGTAATCAGATTGTAATCCAGGAAGTTACGGTCCGATATATCGAAAGGAACCAATATCTTTGGGATATAAACATAATCTTAAGTTTCACTGAAATCCGAGAAAAATTGTGACCCTTGGTATAACATACTTTTACACTATTTGCATACATGGAGCATCCATTTAGTCAGGCAGTTCGGTCCGATTTTCACACAACTGGAACTCAACCATCATTAGGGTGAAATGGTGATATATTTAAACAGATTTTAAAATCGGATACAAACTGTGTCTTCTAGAGGGTTCACAAGATAAAAACATTATTTTTCAAACAATCAGGGGTCATAATTCAGGAAGTTACGCTTCCAAATGCGCGAATTAAGTTTCATCAAAATTTGATACAAATTGTGACTTCTAGATGGTCCACAACCTTGGTATTACATACTATTACACTATTCGCATACAAGGAGCAGCCATTTTGTCAGATCATTTTCGGTCCGTTTTTCACAAAATTCGAACTCAACCGTCATTATGGTGTAATAGTGACATTTTTAAATTATATAAAAATTGTGAAATCTTGAGAAAACAAGGTAAAAGGTACAATAAGAATATTCAAAATACAGATGTGACGTCATTATGGTACAGGCAATGTGCCAACAGTCCATTATAGGGTCTGTAATTTAAATTGTTTAAATATAACGTTGTCGTTGTGCAGTATCAATATATTCCTTAATGTCTCGCCCTCGACCATTAAACCACACTTAATTAGGTATATCAACTCCTTTAAAACCATGCATGTAATTTACTGATATTTAACCAGCTGAACTCATCACTGCTAGACCAATGAATAATTATTGTATCAATAAGCAGGACAGAAACAGGAATTATCAATTTTACCATTATCTCTTTTACATTCAAATTGAACCGCACAAGCATTTACTGACCTTGAAAACCACTATGATTAGAATCTGATAAATTTTTAACTATATTTAGTTCTGTACACAACCTAATTTTTTAATTCTGATATCCTGTGTAGTCAAATCAATAATTTCTTTTGTTGCTAATCAGCGATGATCACCATATTTATTTCATTGTGTCTATTCATACTTTTTTTAATCAATAAACATTATAACGGTCTCATTCTAATTTTATTAATTTATTTACCAACAAGATCAATTTAATCACTTCCTGATTCAGGTTAGTTTTGAATAATTGTTAAAAAGAATTGAATTTATCAGAGAAAATGCCATTTCAAACAATAGTAAAGACAACAATAAAGGCCAGAAATAACATCTCACATTAAAAGTCTGTGGTTCATAATTCATACTTAAAATACAGATTTGACGTCATCCTTTGATGTTGGCGTACCATTATTTCACATAATGGTACGGGCAATGTGCCAAGCGTACATTATTTATACTAGTTGCAATATTGGACGTGCGAGACGTATTTCATTGAAATGCATATGCTGGATAGTGTCTGTATTTCATCAATCTGGTTAAAACACAGATCCTATTTCGCTTCATTTTTATAGTTCAAAAACTGTGGGTAATCCACTAGTAACATCAATGCTGATTGGTTAATCAAATGACTGACGTCATAGGTCAAAAGTCGGTCTTTTGACCCCTGACGTGACCTATCACTATAACTTGTCAGATCTTCATGTAGTGTAGGCCATCGAAAGTATAAAAAAACACAACGAAACGAAATATAGATCTGTATTTTAATCAGATTGGTATTTCATAGGACTTAATGCTTTGAATTGTTTTGTGGGATAATAATCTTGTTTTGTTGCAAATTTTAAGTCTATAGTTATTGAGTTCCACAAATTGAAAAAGTTATCCAAAATTTAAATCAAATGTACCGGTAGTAAACAATTTGACTTCCTCTTAATCTTCCAAAAATATAAAATCAAAAACTACTGATCTGAAATATTGGAGTCCAGCAAGGCTCATTTCTGAGACCTCTATATTCACAAATTTGTTGCAAGAAGATTGATCTCTGTAATTAAAATCTCTGGCTTCTTGTAACAAACTGCGAATATTTTGGACTGATTTTTCATATAACAAATATTAAATCCAAAATTGGCCTATGTGCTCTAGACAAACAAACCTACAAGGGTAAAGAGGATAAAAAAGATAAATCATTTGATACTATTATAGAACCCATAGATTTTTATTTAAATACACATGATTGAACAGTACGTCGCATGAGAGTAAATAACATGATAAAATCATCCATCTAACCATGGAGACAATGAGATCGAACACCAGTCAAGAACTTTCTGTCAATTAGTTCAATATTGTATTGATTGATCTAGAACAAGTAGGAGTTCCAATACAGCCTTCCTAATCCGGAAATAGATTTTTAATTCTGTATCCATTGTGACAGTTGTGTATTGATAATAATAGCGTACTAAGACAAATGAGTCTGGATCTAGAAATCATAGAAAAATATACATGTAGGCCTTTTGCCAACAAAGTCAGGGGAATCTTTATAACACTATCAGGTTTTTTTTCCATCATGTATATTCAGAAATGCTAATCCAATTAGATCTAATTTTATCATCATGGAAGTCCATTATCTACTGAACAGGATCGTCCCATACAAGCCCATTAGTGCAAGAAAGAGAGTTATGAAATTATTGAGATTCAAATTACCTATGGCTGACTGAGAAAGACGTATACAGTTGCCTAAGAAATGGATTATCTAATCAATAGACTAGTAATAAATTTGATCAGAAGCTGAAGTGATGAGGCACCAACTCAAATCACATCACATCCCCAACAATAGTAAACAGTGAAACGCAAGCCGTAGCAATAATGGTATAAGTTAATATAGAACGTGAAAATGCTGATTATCATTGGATAGCATTGGTGCGTAGAAATAGATTGACTAGATAACATGAGTTAGATAAAAACAGTGAGGAATCTTAATATAGTTTTCACTTTCTATCAGTCAATAATCACTAAGTTAATATCCAATCTAACGGTCCTCCTTTAACTGACATTTCTAACTGTAATTATACCAAATCTTACACACACGACAACGCCAGTAATTTCTATTTCTTAATGATAAAAACTGTTCAACAAACCAACTACAACCTTTAAGACCGGCATTGTAAGAGAAAGCTGCTGGGTCGACAAAACATTACCAGTGTGTGTTAAAATAATCAACAAAAAAAGACTGATATAAAGAATTGAACTCTGCTGCCCATTATATAACTATTGGTTTACCATAAAGAATCACTGACAAGATACAATGAAAAGATGCTGCCATTAGAGACAATAATCAATTAAACCGTGAAAAATATTTCCAAACATACATTTAGTGACTTCCGATGAATTATATTTTGACAGAAAATCTTTTTAAGCATAAAAGTCTTTTCACATGGAAAAATAACTAACACTCTGAATATTGCATTTTAAAATTAAATCATTTTTTTTTTTAAGAGGCGTTTTCACTTTCAACAAAACAATAAATGTTATTAATTTTATATACCATTTTCAAAATAAGCTTAGAATTGCTTGATTATAGACAATTTAATTCTGGAGCTCCTGCTGAACTCCTCGAAAACCACAATAGGCTATAATATGCAAAACCATTTCAGAAATTTAAAAAAAAAAAGAAACTAAAGGAAAAATATTAAAATAAATTTTAGAAAATCAAAATCATCAAACAAAGACATTGTCGCTGTCGGCCATCGTCGAAAGGTGGAAACTGGTGTTATATCTACTATTTAGAACAATAAGAAAGTCTACCTGTATATCTCATTCGTGGACATGCAGATCTGTGTCTCAAATTTTGCACACAAACTTATTAAGCTTACTCCCCAAGTACAGTCAAATCACAATAGAAAATTAAAAAATTAGTTGTTTAATTACCAGTAAAGATCTACAAAAAACTAATGCCTTTCAATAAGAAAACAAATATTGTAATTTAACAATCAACAAATGTTCTTTTTTTCATCAAACATGTTTTTGACATTTTGTCATCTACCCAAAATAGATTGGTAATGAAACATAAAATACATGTGCTGTCAAACCGAGAGCCATAAATAAACTATTAAAGAAAATATCTAGCATCTAAAACTATCATTTAGATCTCTAAATCTAATAAAGCATGAAATGGGGTTTAACGTCCTACTGCTGTGCTCTGACTGGGCTAATGAAGATGGATAAAGCAATTTTATAGTATCCAGAATATATTTTTAACTCCAAAGTTTTGACAATCATTGTATGGTGTTTGCCTTCTATAATCTTAATATTTCATTTAAAGCGATAACATCATATTTTCTCAGAAAGTCAAAACATAATTATATCTGTTGCTTAATACTTTGTCAAATCACTATTATACAATCATAGTTATCATTCTAGCACTTAAAAAAAATTCACAGAAAAATGAAAAATATTTTCTACTACATATATAATGAAAATGGTTGATTGTCCAAGTCTGTGTTTAAACATATAGGGCTAATGGTGCCTGGTTGACCGAGGCAAAATTACCTCCCTTGGCTAAAATGACACTTTCAATCTCAACCGTTTTATTTTCAAAAAGAAAATGATATTATTGTTAATTTTTCAACTGACATCCGTGAATTATAGGATTAATAACGAGAGAGAGAGAGAAATGAGGTTTTATGTCAATTCGACACAAACTAGGTCATTTCGGAATTAAAACATGGTTCAATTTTATTTCAATAATTTACTTGTACGTAGGGATCTTTAACAGTGGGAAGAAACTGGAGGACCCAGAGAAAACCCACGAGGTTGGACAGGCGACCCTACTCCTTGTCACGTACAACCACACCAGTTGTCTAAATGACAGACCTTCTGATACAGCATGCACGTGATAACCATTTGGCCATGCACCCATCCGCCCTATAGGATTAATAGGATTAATCTGTAACAAGAGAGGACTGTGTAAAGATGCAATATATTCTAATGCTTTATTTTGATATATTTTAAACATATGACCATAAAAAAAAATGCAATTGTCGCTATAATAATATTATACAATTTAATAGAAAATTATTACTTATTACAAAGGTAGTTCCAAACTTATTTAATGTTGATTGAAGACTACATCCAAACTACAAAGAAAGTATATTTGTTGCTCAAATATATGTTTAATAACCATCTTATTACTTAAATATTAACTGAAAATCATAAAAATATAAAACCTCTGCACACCCCTCTTAATAACAATTTTGTTAGTATTCATAAATCATTACACTTAATTTGTCAACCATATGCACACACCACTGATTCCGATGTTGCTTTTATCCCCATGTGGTCATTGCCATTAATAATTACATCAAATTACATCTAATTTAGTAATTACGCTTGTCCAGGCTTCTTCAACCTTTAGGCTGGAACCGTAGACATCTGAACACGAGTAGAATATTAAAGTGCTTCAACTCTGTAAACATCAATTACTTAGTGAGTAGATTAGCTCCTAGGCCACAACTATTTACATCATACCTACAGCTTATATGACTTCTGTCCAATAGAGAGACCATCTTAACATCTGCTATAATCTTTCTGTTTGAACATAGACAAACAAATGGAACCATTCTGTCGTCTATCCTTAGAATTTACAATACAATGACTGTACCCAGAGTCAGTATCTGATTACTTACAAAGAAAAGAACTAAGTATACTTAAAGTCTAACTAATCAAGACTCAATAATATTTAATCAATTTGAAAGGTTGACTTATGCCATCAGGTACCAGACCAACAACTTATAATAGTAAGTGCAGGAGGACTGCACGCGGCACTACATGCAAAAGAAAACCAACAAGATAAACCCGCGGACAAGACAAACTACTTACACATTGCAATAAAATACTTTGTTGTGGGTGTCAGCTTTCTAGTTCCATTGTGTCCCCGTACTTTTCACGTAATTCTAACTGTTGAGGGGTTTTTATATGTGCCTGCCAATGAGTACCTACCTGGATGGACATTGGTTTTATGTCATATTCGAATGACTCAATCTCAGGAATTTTCTCATTGAGACCGTGGTCAATGGATATATAGTCATCTACCATTTAACAAGGTCAATAACTCAAGGCTAATACCACATTAATCGGTTAATAACATGCCTCAAACACTACGCAGGTATCAACATCGGGCAATCAATGTCACTTTAAGGAAGCACCAAATTTCAATATTAATGTTAATCTATTTGTTACGTGATAAAGAGTAAACATCCTCAACAACGCCTTTTTTTTATTCCCTTTAATTATTACTACCCCAACATAACCATCATCAACTGCTTTTTGGGTTTTCTTCAGCTATTTCTACTCCAAGATAAAACAAACCCAGAACTTACCACACCATTTTGAACACTAAAACCCAGTTGATATTTGACGTCTGGTCGTTTGATGATCACCTCTACAACAGGCGGACATGGTACCACTGTTAATTTTACTACTGTTTGGTTTTTGGCAGCCTGAAAATATATTTTAAACGTAAGTTTATAAGACATGTTTCATTTAGATCTCATTAGCCTAGATTCCATTAAAGATATACAGAAAGCTCAATTTAGTCATCATCTGAACTATCTTACCCTTTCAAACCTGATGTTTCAAAATGGTAACTGTTTAACCGCTGCTGATCTATTGGGGAAATGGGGTCACAGTGGCTAAGTGGGTAAGATGCTGGTTTGCTAGCCTGAAGGTTGGGTGTTCAATCCCTGCATTGGCTGAGAAAGTTCATCCAGATTTTCCGGCGTGGTTCTCTCTTGTCAGTGATGCAGGACAGAGGGCCTGACAAGGACAGCTGTCTAGTCGTTCGGATGGGAGGAAAAACCGAGGTCCCGTGTACACATTGGCATGCACGTAAAAGATCCCTTGACAGTTGGGATTCGATATAAGAGTAGGCTGTAGTGGCGCTGTCCGGCCAAATTTCCCTCATAGCCAACTGCATGGCACATGCCCGTCTTCATTAGCCCAGTTCGGAGAAGAACAGTAGGACGTTTAACCCCATTTCATTTCATTTCTATTGGGGAAAGAATCTGGAAATGGGGTCAAATAAATAAAGGGATAAAGTTTGTATGCTTACAATCTGCTTGATGCCATTTGTTTCTGTTTGTATCTAATGGGAAACCTCTATTGATGCCAACTTTAGATTTATATTGATCAATAATTTTTTCATATGTCTTTATAAAGTAATAGTCCTATTTACGCATACAGCAGAAAAATTAAGGCCTTTATAATAATCACACAATAGGATCACTGAATCATAGCAAATATTGAGCCGAAAAATGGAAAAAGCATGTATAGGAAATACTCTCTTATATGAAGCTAGCAGCATGATTCCTGTCTGTTGAAATTTATGACAGGATACAAGCTGTCAAACTAAGGTCACATAAATCCCTGTATGATCACAATCTAATCTTAATTATTAGCTACATTGTATGATGTTTTAATGAAGTTATAAATAAGGTGGAAGATAAGAAAACTTTGTAATGACATGGCCATCATACATGCTATAAAGGCCGAGACAGAACAAAATAATATTGAGTGGAATCCAGGGAAACTCTCTCTTAATTTTCTTAATGAAGACAACTCAGTGATTTCAATATCACACGAAAGTAGCAGAGCTCTCATTTCAGTCATATTTGTCAGTCTTGACAATGAAATTGACAGATTGGAGAACTTACCCGTCAGTCAATTTTACATGCCATGAAATTATAATTTCAGAGAATTTAACCTGTAAACACAGTTGGCTAAGTTAAATTTAATAACAAAAATAGTAATAATATTTGAAAAATATGTCTTGCTAATTTGAGGTAAACAAAACACTGGTAAAATCTTGAGGTAAACATATTTCCTGTTTGACCTTGACATTACTTAAATTTATCTGTGCTGAAAATGGATCTTGCACTGTACTGTCAATAGTATAAATGGATGCAATTTGTTTAATTTTTTCAGGGTCAGATCCAGACTTGAATAATTATTGGATGAAAATGTTTTTAATAGTCCTCTGGTTAAATAGTCTAGATTACCACAGTGAGAATCATTACAAAAAAACAATGGATTAATTCAAAACATGGCCACCATCCTACAGCTAAACAGGGAAGTGATGTGCATTGAACGTTTTACAAAGCATTGTTAAGTATTTTCGGACTGAAATGAAATGCGGTTTAACGTCCTACTGTTCTGCACCGACTAGGATAATGAAGACAGGCATATGCCATACAGTATGCTATGAGGGAAATTTTGCCCAGACAGCTGCGCTACAGCCTACTCTTGCATCCAATTCAACCGCCAAGGGATCTTTTATGTGCACATCAATGAGTACACAAGACCTCGGTTTTTCATCCCATCCAAATGACTAGACAGCTGTCCTTAACAGGACCTCCATCCTGCTCCACTGACAAGCGGAAATCACGTCGGAAAATCTTGATGAACTTTCTCGGCCAACAACGGTAACGAACCCGCGACCTCCAGACTAAAGTTTTCGGACTAAACCTTTTTTAAGTTCCATTATTCTTCTACACAATATCTAAAATGTCATTCTGATATAGTTCGAAAAATAAAGTTTGTTTATGAACCCTTATAGAAATTAATTTGTTAAGTATATCCAATATGAAAAGACTAACCGAAAAAAAGCAACCCAACCCCAAAACATGAAGACTCATTTTATTCTTGAAATAAAATGTCACTAGCAGCTGACATTAGACGTAACAGAAAGTCAGAAAACACTGAAGAAACAAAATTAGATCGCATGTACATTTAAACATGCTTATTTCACAGAATCTAACTTTAATTAAACTGTCAAGACGTTCAATAATCTGCTTATGATGCCGAGAAAACTGCACAGCTTTCTTTCATAACAATCTTGTTTCATTTTCTCCTGTATTTTCCGTGACAGTTCGATTCCTAAGCTTAAAATAACTAGTCTAGATTTCGACACTTAATTTACATTTGAAATTCAATTCAGAAAAAAGTGACAGAGGTTGGCTTGTATCAAACGGCAGTCTGTTGAGAGGAATTAATCATACTCTTTCTTTCTATTCAATAAACACAGTAGAGAGGAAACACCATACATAACACTTCGACAGTTCTCAAATTTTAACTCAATTACTTATTTCTATTTTCCTCTATCCAGAGTTAGTTTAACATTGCTGAATGTGTTTACCATTACAATAATATATCAAACATGATCATGAGGTTAAATAATTTTGAATTTATGAGCCCACAGAATAAAATAAATACCGGTACTGACAAAAAATAGTTAATAATAATCCTGGAAGTTCATTTGTCTTGTGCAACTTAACATTCTGAGAGTATTGCTGAAGAAAATACAGGTCCCCTACTGTCTCCTACAAATTTGACAGTGCATGCATTAATAAGTTTTTCTGATTTTTCCATGTAAATGGCATGTTCAAAGTGAACATTGATATATATATATACCGTATATAAAATACAAGCGAAATTAAAACCTATGCTTTTGTTAAATGATCTCCCAGTAAATTCTCAGTTTCTTATTATACGTAATCTAATAATCATATAATGATTAAATTTTTGTCAAATGTTTCAGTAAATTATAAACCGTCTTTACTTTAGCAATTGCTTTGAGTGTTTTAAATGGTTACATAAACCAGGAACTCTAGCAAGTATTTATCATAACACTATGTTAGTAGAATTAGGTCATCTGAACAGACTTGAAGGACACGATATACATGTGTAGATTATAACTACTTCATATTGCCATGAATTTAAACAAATTGTGAAATCATCTGTCTAACAACAGATAGACAAACAACATTTGGGGCTCTGAAATATGCATGTAAGAAACATATATCCATCAGAAACAGATAAAAATAACCAGTTTTAAATGTTACATACATTATTGAATATTTTAACCACATAAAAAAACGGTACATAGAAAGTTCTTATCCCCTGGGAGCAGAAAGACAGAACTTGTTTCAATTTTTATTGCGTCAAACCTCATATACCAAAATATGTAATATTATTTTAAATTGTACATAATTATCATGACTTCTTGGAATATATATCTACCGTAATTCCTATTGGACTACCACAGAACACAATATCCAGTTAATTGTAGCAGTTGAATTACTACAGGGACTCAGGTGATGCAAAATATTATGAGATCAATTCTATATCCAGATTTCTTGACTCAATATGTATTCTAATTAATTCCCAGCTGATTTTTTTTTTTAAAATAAAATTAGATATCAAGGTAACATTTGACATAAGAAATGTTTTGAAGTTGCTGACAAGTAAAATATATTCTGAAGAATAAATTACACAGTTCACAAGGGAACGAAAAGAATCCCAACTAAATTACTAGTTTCTTTACAGCTTAAGGCAGTGGTTTGAATGAATGAGTTTCTACCTCAGGAATTGGTTCTAAATTACATGTTTTTCAAGAAAATGGGGTTTTTTATTTACAAATTATACAATTTTTGCCCACTGTGTAGGCGTGTTCGTGACAACAATCGACATCAGTGCTAACACTTGTAAACAATCAACAAGGTTACAATCTGTTAGAGGTCAAATGATGAAGAGACTATTCCACAGATATCACTTAAGACCCATCTTTCTATTTAATCATACAGGCCTTCACAGTATTTTACCTGGCTTGTACATAAAACGTGGAAGAGATTGCCAGTGTTCCGATCTGAAAGTACCAGATCATCTGGCTAAATAAAAATAATTGATTCCTGGTATTTTTAGGCTTTAATATACTTGATGAAAAATTTATACACCACGCATCATGGATAATCTAACTACCCTGTTCAATTATCAGAATGAAAGGTTTTAAACAAGGTATGCAGACGAAGACATCAAAGATTTGGTTGAAAAAGCAAAAGAGATAATCAATCATCACATAACATCCTTCTTAATCTAGCTTTATATCTAATGTATCATAAAAGGTTAACATCAAACATGAAAATAAAGTCACTTAATAACAGAGGCTAAGTAACCATTAATATCAAATAAATTCTGGATCAGGTTCTTTTACAGATATTATAATATGTATAAAATCCTGTTAAAGATGTATCACATAAGGAGCTAAATCTGCCTATTGCAGGTATTTATTTTGGCTTCAAATGTTATATATTATCTAGACATGTGCAAGTTTGTAGCATATATTTTCATAGAAAATCGCCAAAGAGTTGCACATACTATACCGGTTACAGTAACCTCATTTAACTTAGCTTAAATTCAAGATCAATTTCTATTACCATAATTTGTCGGTACTTATTATAGCTTGACATGTATAACATACTATATTATCCTGGCTTCACTCACACTACTTTCTTAAAAAATTAACATAGAGAATGTGCAATGTAAATGATGTGTCATGGAAGTTCTTTGGTGTCGGAAACAAAAGTGGAGCTGTCAAATCATGCTGTTTTTCTACCTGATTTCCAACATATTTAAATATTATAAAATGGCCAAGTTTATTTAGAGTTTTTGACAAGAAAACCCTGTAGAATTTACAGAAATCTCATGTTTCTTTTTGCATCCAACTGAAATTGAAGAACCCTTTGTTGGCCAGTGAGTATGGTGCTGCTGGCTCACTAGCCTGGAGGTCTCAGTTTCGATTCCAGTGTTCTGCTGAGTAAGTTCCTCAGGATTTTCTAGTCTGATTTCTCTTTATAAATATAAGATGTGCAGGATGGAGGGTGTGGCAAAGAAAAACCAAGGTCAACCAATGGCACGACACAAAAGAAAACTTGACAGTTGGACTTCAATGACAAATAGGCATATACACTGCATGGCTTAAAGCCATCTTCATTAGCCTGGTTGATAAAGAATAGTAGAACATTAAACCCCATTTCATTATACTTTCATTTTAAATCACTAGGATGTATTTGTCAGAATAACATCTTTAAGGTATGGAATAAGACTGTCAGGGAACATTTGGATTTGATGCACTCCAGACACATTCAATAACATCAAAATTTCTGCTTTCTCTAATGTGCACGTACATGTAATATACCATGAGATAAATCCATTTCCAAAATTACTGATCAATCATTAACAAAAGGGATGTTCTTTGGTTTAGCTATTTTTGATAACAGTAGTTCTTGTGAACTTGTGTAATAGTTAGTTTATGGGGATGAGGGAAAGGATTAGGATGACTTTATATCTAATAACAATCAATACATGTCTACATGATGGAGACTACCTTATATAATTATATACAGGCCATATTGACGAAGACATGAATCTCATCATTAAACCACTAACTAGCTGTAGTAATTCAATGTAAGTAGGGGTTAAATAAATCACTCAGACAGCTTCTCTACCACTTTACAGCCAGGTCAGGTCATAGATATTCTGTGATATATTAATCTGTTAATGTTTTCAGATATTTAAAATTAGGATATATATAGTTTATTCTAGTTGATCACCACCATATTTGGTGCATACTGTTGTTAATAATAGATATGGAGCCAACATAAAGATAGGTTGCCTGGCAATGAATCATATGTCCACAGCAGCTAAGTCGCCAGGGCCATCCATATGGGTTGTCAAATTTTTTGTCTTTTGTTGATAAGACACTAAAAAGTAAAACTGATTAAAAGTAACAACCCATCAGCAAATGTTTAGTCCACGCTACTGTTCAGTACGGTACATAGAACTTGTAATATCATGAATTTAGCTGTGTAAGTTACGGGAACTTGGTGAAAATGAATAGACTTCATCTCAAAACCATAGGTGGTGTTTATAAATTAAGCCTCTAAAGAGTTTAAAAGATTTTTTAAAGGGATTAAGGGCCGTAACTCTGGTAGTAATTATTCGAAATCGCTGAAATCATTTAGTTCATGCTGCTGTTCAGTATATAAAACTTGTAATATCGTGATTCTAGCTCTTTAAGTTACGTGAAATCGCTAAAAAGGAATAGGCTTCTTCATCTGCAGGCTATAAATATGTGTATACATTTAAAGTCAGTAGGATTTATCAAAGTCAGTGATCAAGGGCCATAAACTCTAGTTTATCCATCCTTTCTTATAGCAGACAATGTTTCTATGGCACCAACATAAAATATTGCATTGGAAATACAGAAGATGCATGAATAACTTAAAGTAGTGTTATAGATGAAATGATTTGTATTGGGTTGAGTATGGTTGAAACTTTTTCAGCACTACTAGATAATGAATATCTGCAATGGCTGGACTTCTTCTTGAATTCAATTTGTATTTTGGGTTGAGCTTGATTGAAACTATTTTCAATACTAGATAATGAATATAAAGAATAGGCAACAGTTAAACTTCTCCTTTAACATTGCATTCAAAACAGAAAATCCAGTATTTTTCAGTCAGAGAACTGTACAAAGGCTTCCATCTTCTATCCATTCTTCTGATGATTTGTAGAATTAAACTTCATCAGACATTTAAGAGTTTGTCTGTCTAGAATCCATAATGACATCACATCTCCACTTATTTCCAAACCAGATCATGTTAGCCTGAAATACGCCTTTGTCCATCTTCTCATGTCCACATACACCACATGAAGTAATACAAATAGTAGACCTAGTTTGAATAATCTTACATAAGACAGCTGGTACAGGAAGGGCAATAATTATACATTAATTTGTATGTAAATACGGCTTACCTTAATGTACGTCTGACAAGCGGAGAGTGGTAGACCAACTAAACTGATGCCATTAATAGAGATAATTTGATCTCCTATATTTAATTGACCACATCGTGCTGCAGGTCCTATAGGAGACATATTGGCAAGAACAACAGTAGGAACCATGGAACCCCAACCGGACTCTACAATAACTACTCCTAATAACTCATTTTTAGCTTTTGGCACTATCACCTGAAACAAATATATCATTATATTAAAAGTAATGAAACTGTTTCATTTTATTTCCCATTTCTACTGGGTATTTAACTTTATTGAATGCAAGGCAAGGATATTGAATTTTCTTTTCTGTTGTGTTATAATGTCATATTGCTTTCACTTGCATTTTATAATTAAATTTTACTATTTACTTACTAAAATTTTTGTATCGACGAAACGAAATGAGTAAATATTGTAATAAAATGCTAATATTGATTGACGCCATTAAATAAATTTATAAGAAAGGACTTATTTCCTACAAAATAATTAATATGTGAAATGCACATTTTATCCATTTTATACAAATTGATTTACAGTTCAAAGTTTTGTTTATCCAAGACATTAAAGTCACTGATCATCTTTTGTATATTCTGGACAGTATCATCTAACTTTTCACGGTTAAATCCACGCTAAAAAAAGGTACTCAAATAAATTATCTTATATTTATTTAAGAAAACAAAAATCAAAATATTAATGGTAGATAATTTCTTGACTTGGATTCAGACAACTCAAAAAGAGGTCCATTAACAGATTTTACCCAACACAAGCTTGTCCATATGAAAATATTCAATTCATATTTTTGTAAATATTGAATGGAATTAAGCCATTTTAGAAGTTAATATTCCTTTCTCCTAAAGATATTTAACTAAGTGCTTTTCAAGGGATTTGAAATCTCACAAATGATGATAAGCAGCTTTAGTCTTTAGTTCATAAACATACTGTACATAAGCCTATAAGGTAATAGCACAAAAACTGCTGAGGGTATGAAAGATGTCCTTAGAGTGATATAATTTAATATTAAAGAATCATTTGCAGTCGAGTGTAAAATTATATTTGTCTGCAATCGGCTTTTAATCAATATCTAATCAAAAAACTTACTTCTTTATGGTGATCTTTATTTGCAAATAAATTCAGTTCCTCCCCATAGATTTCTTGTTGATTTAAAACATCCTGATAGTCCATTTCCTTCAACAAGCCAGGATCTTCAATACCATTAGCCTTCAGGAACTCCATATAGGCCACCTGGAAGGCCTGCCCAATGGACTGGGCAATAAGTTGGGCCTGGAATAGATATGACCATGACATTGAAATTGCTATATATATGTCAATTACTTATATTTAGTTTGACTATTCATCGTTTTTGATGACAATGTGAATACCAGAGAAACTGAAATGGGGTAAATCACCTACTTAACACAAACCATGTCATTTCTGGATTAATATAATAAGGTACATCTTTATTTTTTTTATTTGACTGCATGCAGGGATCTTTAGCAGTAGAAGGAAACCGGAGATTCCAGAGATCCCTGAGAAACCAGTCCTATACCTTGTCATGCACAAACAAGTGAGTGAAACCAGAACACTTGTTCAATTAAAAATTCCATAATATAAATCCCACAGGAGAAGCCAATTCAGTCACCCCACCCCACATGTGACATTTCCTTTTGCTATGTTTCTTTTAGCAAAACACTCAGTCCAGACCATTGTTGGTTAAAGGGCCAAACTTGATTATATTTATGAGAATAAAACTGTTTAATTTTGTGTGAAAAGCTTAGGGCCAAGCAACTAACTCAATATATGTGATATGTTTTCAAACAACTTTAACCTGTCAGTCTTCATCTGGAAATGTATTATACGGGGTCTGGATAAAACCAGATCTTTATCTTATAACAATCACATGCAGGTGATATTTACCATTCATTATTAAGTACAATATATGCATTACGCATTGTTTTGACCTCTAAAGGAATGGTAATAGATTATCAGGTCACCCAACTAAAAAATTGACCCGAAATATTAAAAGTGTTACGTGTTCAGATAAGCAGTTTTGACGTTCAAGCCCAAAAGAAATTTTCAGACAAGGTAAATACACCATTCCTCTATATTTTGGCGCCTAAATTTCATACATACATGGACTTTTATTTCTGAGACTGTTAAAATTGGGATGGTCCCTTTAAGCAAATTTTATATTTTGTTTGGGAATCCAAAAAGATTGGGTTTTTTCAATGAAATCAATGATTAACTTTGACATTTATATATACCCCACGCAGATTATTTTAATTCCACCATCTCTGAAACTATGTTTATGAAGACTATAATTTAAATATCTATAAACACAAAACATCAAGTAATTCATTTAACTTTCTCTTTAAGATTATATGATTTCTTTATTCAATCTATATCTTGTACACAGTGTATATCTGCCATTATGGCAAGTTAATTAAATGAAAACTATTCATTATTTTTGACATTTAATACTGTAAATATGTATATTGATCATTTTGTTATTTGTTCTAAGTTAAAAGAGCTCTGTAAACAGATATTTGTAACTTTATGATGTATTTTTAAAAAACATGAACTAACTAATAATATAATTTTTCCCATTGTTTCTGTTCATATTTATAGTCCTCCATTAACCTGACATTTTATTTGATTCTTGATCTGCAGTCACAAGCCATGTTAGCATTTAATACAGACATGGTGGGCATAATATGGTCTTTTCGACAATCAATATCTAAGCTATCCATGTTGATTATGGGCTTGTCTCCGACTGGGCTAATAAAGACGGGCATACGCCATACAGTGCCGCATGATGAAAATTTTGCCCAGAGAGTGACACTACGGCATACTCTTAAGATTGATTTCCAACTGCCAAGGGATCTTTTACGTGCATTCCAATGTGTATGTGGGACTTCAGGTTTTTCATCCCATCTGAACGACTAGACAGTTGTCCTAGTCAGGCCCTCCGTCCTGCACTACTGACAAGCGGAAACTATCTTGATGAACTTTCTCAGTCAAAACCGGGAGCGAACCCATGCCCTCCTGGCTAGCGAACCAGCGTCTAACCCACTTAGCCACCGTGGCACCTCTGTCCTGCACCACTGACAAGTGGAAACCATCTTGATGAACTTTCTCAGCCAACACCGGGAGCGAACCCACGACCTCCTGGCTAGCGAACCAGCGTCTAACCCACTTCGTCACCGTGGCACCTCATGTCTAAATAATTTATATTACATTTGAAGCCACAAAATAATATGCTGGTAATATTTGTGGTTTTTAGCAAAGTTTGAGCCACTGTGGCTAAGAGTGTATGGTGCTGGGTTTGATTCCTAGTGTTGGCCAAGGAAGTCCCTAAGGATTTTCCAACCAGATTTCCATCTATCAGAGATACAGCGCAATGGGAATCTAGTCGTTCGGATGGTACGAAACAAAATGCAGAAGAAACCTTTGACATTAGGAATTCAATTAACATACTTGTAAAGACTGCTGTTCAAGCCAAATTGCCCTTACAACACAAAACATGGTGTATGTCCGTCTACATTAATTGTGTTGGTGCAGAAAAGCCGAACATTAAAAAACATTTCATTCTATTAAGTGGTTTGTCTACTACTGAGGTTTCATTGACCTAAAAGAATTTTCAACTCAGTAAAAGGATCAGCAATTAAATGAAAGTCTAATCTGGTTTGATCTGTGATTGTCAATCCATGTTTAATCATGTCTGTCACTCTGTCTCGACATTCAATTATTGCTTTTGGGACTTCCCTCTTTTGAATTTGATCAACTTATCATTTATTTAAATTCCATCTACAAGACACGGAAATTGAATCTCTATCAAGGGAATACTTTGAAATGTTAGAAACTTATCGCAATATTCTAAATTGATAACAATCTTCTATAAAGACTTAACACATGTAAACTAAACTATATTTGAAAGAAAGGTGCCAGGCTATGAAACCAAATCGGTTCTAGAATAGTAATTGAATTATGACAGGACAGTGATCAAACCACACATGAAATAATAATCGGAAATCATTACAATCATTTTTTCTTACACTGACAACCAACATATATGAATTTAATGCAAACTTTAGACTCTAAAGCATCTGCAAGATTTTTCAAAGTGATCATTGAAAATACATGTAACTCTAAAAGTCACTGATTGGTGATTACTTGTTCATCTTTTGTGGCTTTACACCCACTGATTGAAGGTCGGATTATACAATGTATTCAGAATACAGATTACTCAAAGCTTTTTTTCCTGAAGTAATAAGGAAATAATTCAGGACATGAAAATGATGTCGGATTTTATTAAGGCTGTGCAAAAATATCGATATAATCGATAATCGGTAGAAGTTATTTAGCGATACGATAATCGATATTGAAATTCAAATATCGATTATCGGTATATTTACCTTCTGACGGCAAGTTACGGTCACTTTCACATGACTGAACTTGCCGTAGACTGGCATGCAGACGAATGAACGAATACACAACAACTATTTTCCCCCTCTGCTTACAAACTGGCACATTTTAAATATATATTATTGTAAAAAAAATAAACTTTAAGATTAAATACATTATTTTAATATTTTCGTTGTTTTTGTTGTTATTACTAGTTGAAACTAAAATAGGTCACGCACTTTGTGAAAAATGATGATCGCACATGATATAGTAAAATTAGAATTATCTCCCTTCTTTGCTCTTGATTGATTTGTAGAGAAATTGTCTGCTTTCACGATAAAACTAATTGTATTATTAATGATCAACTCAGCTTTTATTACTAAATCATGTCAGATACAGCCCATATAAAACACGTTTTTGACTTCCTGGGAAAATATCTATATCTCTCGTAATTTCTTGGAAGAATTCTACTTCGGTTTTCGTCAAAATTAACCAATCATAAAAATTCTATTTTGAAAGCCGGTAATTTTTTTTTTATTGTCCAATCAATAGACGCCTTCTATTATATTTTATTCTATTATTAGTAACACTGTGTGATCGCCAGTAACTTGCAAAGAGAAACCATGTATTGTCTTTGTATTTATCGGAGATATTGGAATAAAAAAAAGGTTCAAATGAATCAAGAACAAAACTTAGAATAATACTCAAGTTAATCCTACATTTAGCAACTAATTATTTTACATTAATTGATTTTTTTACGTACATCGGCACATTATTAGACTAGGATAATAACACTACTGTAACTCGATCAACACAAATAACAGGTTGGTAAAGTTCGGTTTTTCCGGAAGAATGATAATCGATTATTATCAATAATCGCTGACAAATTCTTGCCGATAATCGATATTGAAATTTCATATCGATTCCCAGCCTTAGATTTTATAGCATGTCGTAGCATTCAGATGTCCACTGTAACTCTAAAAGTCATTATTGGATATCCTTGAAAATAAATAGGCTTCTTTGTCTTTTAATAAATATTAACTGGATGACCTGGCGCCTGGTACGTTCGGGCATTTTTATGCGCGAACTCTTAGGTTTTTTTTTACTGGCATGCGCACAGGTACTATTTCTTTTTCTTTTAACAAGTACCCAAATCGGGGATTTCGTGCGGAGGTAGTTCGGAGGTAAACAATCTGTGAAGTACAACACTTGCCACTGTACCTGTGTATCGCTAATTATAAACCGAATGTGTGAAGACAGTTCATACATATCACTCAAAAATTTTTCAGTACAAACTCAGTTGATTCACGCTCGATTTGCTACTAAACAAACCCATCGGTTTATTTTCTCAACAGTGTGACCCGAAGTGACCGCGGATTTATTGACCTTGTATGAACTTATCCATAGCTATATCCTTACACCGAGAGAAATTATCTAGTCTCGGTGAAAAGAACCATGGTCATCTGGTAGAAAATTACTTTTGTATTTTTTTTTGGAACGGAAAACAGTGTTTTTAGAAGCAAACTAACCTGCCGCACATGAGGAAGTCATTATACTAATAATAAAAGGCGAGACCTCTTTTTGCGGCGCAGGCTTATCACTGAGTAGTAAACCGTCCACAAACAATAATATAGGAAGCCTAGTGACGAGATTACTCGCTTTCAGTTTACTCTGTTTTTGCGATAACCAATTATGTGAGAAATACCATACTGACATTAAAGTTGTACGCCAACTAAATGCGTTTGTTAGATACTGACAGAGCAGCCCCGAGTCGAACAATCGCCGCCCGAGCTGTCTTCGTCAGCTAGTTTCACAATATCGTGCAATAGGTGTATTAATGTGATTTTTAGGTTTAACCCCGCAAACAATGCCAAAATAGT